TATCTATCTATCTATCTATCTATCTATCTATCTATCTATCTATCTATCTATCTATCTATCTATCTATCTATCTATCTATCTATCTATCTATCTATCTATCTATCTATCTATCTATCTATCTATCTATCTATCTATCTATCTATCTATCTATCTATCTATCTATCTATCTATCTATCTATCTATCTATCTATCTATCTATCTATCTATCTATCTATCTATTAGGGGTGGGTATTGCCAAAGAAGTCACGATTCGATTCGAATCACGATTCACAGGCCACGATGCGATTCTATCACGATGCATCACGATACTTGAATTATTTCGATGCATTGCAATATTTTCTCCTCCATGTTTTGTTTTTGAATGACTCGGCACAGTATCCCATGGCCGGAAATGCTTGTGACACAAGGCAGTGTGCGTCAACACATTTGCAGCGACATCTACTGGACTGGAAGTTGTATTACACTTGTTTTTGGCTGATGTTCGCCAACCATTCATGCAATTTTATATATTCATTTTTTTAAATTAATAATCGATTCTTGGCATCAAGAATCGATGCAGTAGATCACGAAAATTAGAATCACGATGCATCGTCATCACGATTATTTTGCACACCCCTACTATCTATCTATCTATCTATCTATCTATCTATCTATCTATCTATCTATCTATCTATCTATCTATCTATCTATCTATCTATCTATCTATCTATCTATCTATCTATCTATCTATCTATCTATCTATCTATCTATCTATCTATCTATCTATCTATCTATCTATCTATCTATCTATCTATTAGGGGTGGGTATTGCCAAAGAAGTCACGATTCGATTCGAATCACGATTCACAGGCCACGATGCGATTCTATCACGATGCATCACGATACTTGAATTATTTCGATGCATTGCAATATTTTCTCCTCCATGTTTTGTTTTTGAATGACTCGGCACAGTATCCCATGGCCGGAAATGCTTGTGACACAAGGCAGTGTGCGTCAACACATTTGCAGCGACATCTACTGGACTGGAAGTTGTATTACACTTGTTTTTGGCTGATGTTCGCCAACCATTCATGCAATTTTATATATTCATTTTTTTAAATTAATAATCGATTCTTGGCATCAAGAATCGATGCAGTAGATCACGAAAATTAGAATCACGATGCATCGTCATCACGATTATTTTGCACACCCCTACTATCTATCTATCTATCTATCTATCTATCTATCTATCTATCTATCTATCTATCTATCTATCTATCTATCTATCTATCTATCTATCTATCTATCTATCTATCTATCTATCTATCTATCTATCTATCTATCTATCTATCTATCTATCTATCTATCTATCTATCTATCTATCTATCTATCTATCTATCTATCTATCTATCTATCTATCTATCTATCTATCTATCTATCTATCTATCTATCTATCTATCTATCTATCTATCTATCTATCTATCTATCTATCTATCTATCTATCTATCTATCTATCTATCTATCTATCTATCTATCTATCTATCTATCTATCTATCCTGTAACATGATTGAAGCTGCAAAAGCCCCCAACATGCAGAGGATTAGAGTCAGAATAGTTTTATTGCTGGCGTCCAATAGGGAAATTTGCCCTGCAGACAGGTGGAGATAATAATAAGACTCTAACACGGGCACACTATTAAAAATTACAAGTATCTATTTTAGAATAAACATTACAGTCTGAAGATCAATCTGAAAAATACCCAACAACTGACGGAACCAAACACTTTTTAGGTTTGTCTAAAAAGCCTGAGAAATGAAAGAGTTTTGCTTCTGTTGGTCGTAGCTTTAAGCTGCTTGAATCTTTTCCAGATAATAGAAGCTCAAATTTACCACATGGGAGTAGAGAAGGATTTCTTTTTTCTTTTGTATAAAAAGTTCCATTAGATCAGGTCGTTCAGTACCAAGGATTTTCCCAGGCCCTTTTACTATTTGCTTCATTTTCTTTTTACTTATTTTTTTTTTGTCTCTCTCTGATTGGTTCCTGAATCAAGCGATTAAAGAAAAACTAAGAACACATTCTATCCTAGAACAGTCAGATTGGTTTAATTTGAGGAAATAGTGCCACCTTTGGTGTTCTTTTCTTGTGAACCTTGTCGAATATTTCACTGAATGTCAAAATATGGATGAGAACACCTTGATGCTTTTAACACTCCTATTCTACAGTAAGGAGACCTAAAGGAGGACTGGCTTTTTTCTGAAATTAACACACAAATCTTTGGTCTTACATTTAGTTATGAATGGCACTTATAAAATCCTCCACTACCTTACTGGGTAAGTCATTATCTATCTGTAACAGGCTGATTATAACTGTGTGATCTGCAAACTTTCAAATATGTTTTTTGCATGATGATATTTACCCGATAAACAGCCTATAGTCAAATTCTGGACCTAAATATATAGTAATGTTGACAGAGACATAATCCCTAAGACTTGCAGCTGGAAAAACGGCCTTGGAGGAGTTGAAGAAAAGTGTGCAACACTTGGAAGATTTAAAATAAGACAAAGAGAATCAAAAGTGTCGTTCTATTTTGTGCTTTTTTGTTTGCGGCAAATCCATCATCTATGGTGTAACTGGTATAGGCTAATGTTTCTGCGATATGTCTGCTTGATTTGCAAGAAGCCATCATTTACAGGAATATTGAAATCAAAAGCAATAATTATTTTAAGTAAAGTTTAGTATTATTTGCCTCTCATGTCAGATAAAGTAGATGTATCTTATTTATATCCGTTTTTAATGTTTATGGCTCACAGGTAAATAATCAGAACATCTGAATATTACTTCAGATCAATCTTAAGAAGTGTCAGAAGTCTTTGATGAATTACTGCATCAACGCTCCGTGGCATAGAGGCTGTCATTCTGTGATGTTGCATAGGTGTAATAGAAGCCCAGATGGCTTTGATCGCTGCCTTCAGGTCAGAGGAGTTCACTGACCAACAACAACAGGAACATTAAGGTCATTCAAACTGCTTTTGGCAGATCGGGTCTATTCCTGCTGGAAAATACTATCAGCCTGTCAGAGAGAAGCATGAAGTGCTGTAGAATGTTATGGTAGACGGACGCATCGACTGCAGACCTGAAAAAAAACAGATGACATGACACCTCAAACCATCATTGACTGTGGGAACTTCTGTCCTCCAAGTTCTTCAATGGATTTCATTTTATAATCCTTTCAAGGCTGCGTTTCTCCCTCCCTGATGTTGGTGCACTTTCTTCTACCACACTTTTTCCTTCCACTTAATTTTCTGGTAATATGCCTGAAAACAGAGCAGACAGCCCCTACCAGCATGGCTTACCCTCCTTATGAAGGACGTCTGTGCAGTCAGCAGCTTCCCCTTTTAAGACTTTAAAGCCTCATGAAACCTTCACGGGTGTTTAAGGTTAATCAATCTACAGATTTCTCCGTTATATGAATTACAGAAGTGTCCATTACTATTACAGATCAGTTACTGGTCCTTTTCTACCAGAATACTTTTTAAAAAAAATTTTTTTTTTATGTTTCTGGGCATACACACAAGCCCCTTTAGTACACTAAGGACCACTGTGAGTAATTATCAGAGGTGACAAGTAACAAAGTACAAATACTTAATTACTGTACTTAAGTACACTTTTTAGGTATCTATACTTTACTCCATTACTTATTTTTCTTCCTACTTCTCACTTCTACTCATTACATTTTCACACAAGTATCTGTACTTTCTATTCCTTACATTTTTAAAACAAACTTTACTCGTTACTCTTGGCTTTAGTTTAATGTTTATAAATCTTTATTTCCCGTCATGTGCGCCATCCAATGCAGATCATTGGCTCCATCCACATCTAGTGAAAACTAGTGTAATTGGATAAGTCATATAACGCAAACACTCATTGGTTAGTTAAAGGAAATCATCAGAAGCAAGCAGGTGTTCTTCAAACTGCAAACGTGAATTGTCTATGCCATGCTACAATGATGGATTCAGAAAAAGATGTTGAAATGTCTGAAAGGTCGGACACAGGAGAGAGTGTATCGGGAGATGGAGACCAACAAGACCTCCCTCATCCTTGTCCCTATCTCAAATTTTTTTTCCCAAACAGTCAAAAATTGAGCTTTTAATTCATATAGCGGCATCTGGCTGTTTTTTTTAAAGTTACTTTATACTTTTATACTTTAAGTAGTTTTTAGAGCACATACTTTTTCACTTTTACTATAGTAAAGAGGTCAAGTTGATACTTCAACTTTTACCAGAGTGTTTTTAAGCTGCAATATCTATACTTCTACTTAAGTAACAAATGTGTGTACTTTTGGCACCACTGGTAATCATTGCAAGCTACATGATTTATTAAACACATACGAAACTAAAGCAGCAATTTTTATTATTTTACTTTCAATTTAAGTAATTTGGCCCCATGAGAATAAAAAAAAACAAACAAACAAAAACTTGTTGTTCCTGAGATGTGTAGTATTTTATATGTAAAAGTCCTGCTTTAGCCAGGGTGAGGGTGCTACTCTGAAAGAGATGAGACGTTATACCCTTTTTGTTCATAGTGAAACATTCACGTTTTTGTACAAGGAAGTATTTGCTCCAGCTTCTGTTATTATTTGGGGGTAAATTTTTTTGGCATTAATAAGATAAATCATACAACAGTATAAACATTCCATGACTGATGTCCATAAATAGAAAAATCTTATCAAATGTAAGTAGAATATAAACAAATATGAGTTACACTTTATCTCTTTGTCATATCTGTCCTTTTCTACAATGGCTGTCCAAATTTTGTTTCTCACACTTGCAACTTATATGTATATATATATACCAGAATTCAGGAGGGTTGCAAATATACTAAAATGAGTCAAGTAAAAATATCAACGTCACATGCATTTCTATATGTGATTGCTGCACTTGCTCATTAGTGCCCCCTCGAGGAGTTGAGATTAACTGCGGGGTGAGTAGAGGCAGCGCTCTGCTATGCGTTCACTCCTTGTTCCTCTGCGCTGCTGTCATCACACCACCTCTTCATTTGGAGCGTCCAACCGGTCTCTTTTTGGGAAAGTTTTCTAAAAAAAAAAATAAATAAATAAATAAAAATCTAAGATGATTTTGCAGCATATCTTTTTGATATTCGGAGATTTGGCTGAGATACCTAAAAATGCGCCCCGCCTTTGTTGGACAATCTTTTTAAATATTTACAAGTTATGTCCTCTGTAACTGGAAGAAGGGAGAGATTTTCATCTGCGATCCGAGGAGCGCACTGGGTAAGCAAGGTTCATTTATTGTTTAGAGACACTGGAAAACTGAAGAAGATGCAAGGTTATTAGATTTTTTTATTTTTAGATGGAGCGCACCATGTTGCTCCAGGATTAAAAAAACAAAACAAACAACAACAAAAAAACATTAGGGTGTGGTTAGAGTTGCCCACGTCGATTGATATCTAATTTCTCCCTCTGCCTAAGCCCACATTCATCCTCTTTGTAATGTTTTATTTCTTAGAGCCCAGCAGTGCAGCATCACTGTGACTCCTTTTCTGCGTCCAGCATCAGGAGACAGTGCCAGCCAGAGGAGCGCCCCACTCCCCAGGGCTCCTCACCGGGATATGTGCAGCAGGGAGGTCCCCTCCTACAAGTCCCTTCCAGGCTCGCTGGGGGAACGCATAAGGATGTCCTTTGGAAGTGGGACAGCGTTCAGGGGCTCTGCGTCTGCTCTGCATCCCGGATCTGGGAGGTCCGACAGGAAAGTTGCGTGCTGTGAGAAGTGCTCTGCAGCTCTAGTTGCTCTAAAGAAGCAAGCTCTGAGTCTGGCTGTCCACCATCACTTCTCCTGCAAGGTCAGTGACTGATGATGTGATGCAGGATATTTGGAGCCTATTGATATCATCAGGCTGATTACTTTATGCCTGATAAAGAGAAATATGAGGATAGATACTGCTTTATATGTTCTCTTGAATAATTAGATTTCAATCAAACCACACATTTTAATTTATATATATATATATATATATATATATATATATATATTGGTTTTTATGCAATTTTTAATTATTGGATCATGTCGTTTATTGGTCAAAATAAGTGTGTATGAAATGTTAAATGTATCTGTATATAAGTAACTTATAAAATTTGGTTGAATGCACTTAAAAAAATAGTTTCGGATTGTGTTAAATATAAGACATTATAAATAAAAATGTTGATCAATAATTGTGTTTAAAGATCTATAATGCTTGATTCTAAAAACGTAATACTTTGGATGGGTGGTAATATTATTATCACTTCTGATTTATATTTAAATCGTGGGTTTCACTCAGCTGTTCTTCTCATTGGTCCAGCAAGTGATGTGTGCAGCGGAGAAATGGGTTTATAGGGGTTGGATTAGGCCTATAAACAATTACATTTGGTCATAGATAAGAGGATATAGCTGAGAAAGTTTCAGCACTATAGCAAGAAATTAGGTTTCTATCCGGTTCAAGTAGATTAGCAACTGCTAAAACAATTCTTTGATATTTTTAAACCAATAAAAAGTGTTTTTTAAAGAATATGATATAGGAAGCTCAGCTTTCTTGCATGTTTAAATTTAGCTTTAGTGCTATTGTTAAACTAGCTAAAGCTAGATACAAATTAAAAATCTCATCCATAATTACAAATTTCAACTTCTAATTCAATTCAGTTTATTTCTATAGCGCCACTTCACAACACATGTCATCTCAAGGTACTTCATAGTGTCATGATGCGTTGGTTTTACTAGCCCATATGCAGACTCACAGACACAGAGGGAGGAATAAAAGTCCAATATTTATAGGAAACCAGAAGCAGCTGCAGGTTCAAGGCTCAGACAGGCATGATGGCACAGGTAAGACACACGATCCAGCACAGAGAGAAAATCACATACAGCTTATATAGGGAGCTTCCTTAATCAGCAGAATGTCAAACAGCTGATCAAGCTGAGTCCAAGCTCCCCAGGCTTGGATCCACGCACCCTCTGGTGGGCAAAGTCCCGGATCCTGACACATAGTTCACCAGAACATACAGTGAAATTGATTCATGGATTTTCTGTCTAAGGAAAACCAGTTGATTATATCGACTCATTGACTAAAATGCAATCCCTCACATTAAGCATGCTTGTAGCGACAGTGGAGAGGAAAAACTCCCTTTTAACAGGAGGGAACCTCCAGTAGAATCAGGCTCAGTGTGAGCGGCCATCTGCTGAGGCCAGCTTAGTTTCAAGGAGACAGAAGTCGAGATACAGAAAGAAGCAGTTTATAACATAAATAAATAAAATGGTATAATAATTTAACAAAGATTTACTACCTAAAAATAGATATTCTTCTAAGAATTTTACCATTATTGAACATTACAGGCTTATTTGCTTGAATTCAGTTTAAATAACTTAAAGCTCTGTTTAATCAGACCATAGCTGTGATTGACAGGTAAAAAGGTAAAGTGAAAACATTAAAAAAGTTAAGCGGTATTTCAAAAATGTTTCATAGCTTAATCATAAGCTGATAAATATAGGTAGAACAACTAGAGCAGAAAAATGTCTTCAGAATAAGTATTCAATTATTAGTGGTGATTTATTTGCTCATTGTTATCTGTATATTTCGACTGCCGAACCTAAAGAGTTTCTACTTGGAAATCTATTCAAATTATGTGTTTGCAAGTTGTTTCTCCGTTTTTTTTTTTTTATGGCCAAATTGAAATTGTTTTGTTTTATCAGTGTGCGTCCCATAACCAATAGACTCTACCTCCCACAGAATGTAGTTATTAATTCAATATGCGCTAAACCATCACTATAATGTTAATATTTGATGGTTTTCTTTGTCTTCATGTGTTCATTGAAACAATGGCTCCTTGAGGGAAGCATGAAAAGTGAACAAGTTGAAAACCCTGCCCTGTTTGTGTCTGTAATTACATATTTCTTAACAAAAACATAATAATTTGCTTATAAGTCATTATTAAAGATGGAATAATGTTTTAGTCGCATACATAGCGTTTAGGGGGAAGTGCTGACCCTCTTTACAGTCTTTCTGTCACTCAATCAAAGGCTGTTAACTGGTGTTTTAATGCTCATGTGGCCATATGTGCTGCCTCTTAGAGAATGCACCTCTATACGTCGGACACTGTCGCCATCCATCACCCAGACCCTAACCCACCAAGTAAAACCTGTGACATTCCTGTTTGAGTGCTTTCAGATGGGCATGAATATTTCATGGCGACATCTCTGTGTCATCTTTCCACCTTCCCCGCTGAGGAAAGGCTATTTATTTTTGTCCGCTTAAGTGGTATGTTTGGCCGGTGAGCCGTGGTCTTGATGTTTTAGGGAGGGAGGGAGATTGAAGCGTGCAGCCAGTAGAAACCCGATAAGCCAGTTAGCTCCTTTCAGGCTTATTGATCAAGACTATGGCTTCTCAATAGCATCGTTGCTCTATGATATCATCCTCTTTTTTCTTTTTTTTTTAAATGGGCTGGTCAAGATGGGAAGCAATGTCTCCGGTGTGGTTTCGCTTTTCATTTTGTGATATTATTGTTAATAATATCTGTTATCAGTTTTTTTTGTGAGACGTTTCAGGTGATTTTATTTCAATTACATAATTGCATGGAAGTTGGGGTTGGCCAAATGTGTCTGGATTCAGAGGTGTTTGTGCTTACTGTTAGATGGATGAAGCAGATCACCGCTGCTGTGTGCTTTTTACTGCAGTGCCCTGTAAAATAATCATACCTCTTTCACATTCTTTGCAAAAAAGCATGACTTTGACTAGGCCATTCTGATACATAAGCATGCTTAGATCTAAATATATGGTTCTCAGTCCTTATCTTCAGGGCTCACTGTCCTTCAGCTTTAATATGTGTGTGATTACTTTACTTCCTCGACATACTGTTAGCTCGTTAATCACCCATTCATGTAGGTGAAGTGTTTCAGTAGCAGGAAAACAGCAAAACATGCAGGACAGTGGATCTTAAAGTTTCATTCTATATCATAAGTTGAAGCTCTGATAATTATTCCTTTCCCTGCTGAAGGAAGTCTTGCACAAGCATGATAGTGCTAACATGTTTTTGGTGATGGCATGTTCAGGATGAGGTTTCCTCCACACATAGAATTTCACATGTGAGACATAAAGTTATTTTCTGGATTCTTTAACCAGTTTTCCACCAAATGTAGTTTAGAATAATAAATATCGCCCTGCTAACAGTTTGATTTGTTGATCTCTAAAACTGTTTCAGAGTTTTTACCCTCGGCATATGTTTGCATATATGCCCTTTATTCAATGGATGACATAATAGCATGAGGAGATCCTTCAGCTTTTTCATGTATTTAATTTTATAGCCTTTATAATTTGATCAGAGTTCAAGCAAGCTCTGGTACACCATGCATACTACACATGTTCACCACTGTGACAGAAAGAGAAAGCTACTTTGTTCAATCACTTTGTTTCTTAATGCACTTTGGAAATGCCTGTTAGATGGCAGGCAATTTAATATCAGTGTGAGATGCATCCAGCAGGGAAATTCATGTAATGGCCGATTACTGCAGCTAAAAATGTGAAAACTGAAATTTCATCCCAAGATGAAGGTGTGAGTTACAGAGAATTTTTTTTTAGATATGAAAGCACTGTCAGATGTTCAAAGTTTGGGATATAAAAAAAAACCCCAAAGCTTTAAAATTCCCCCAAATTTCATTCCTAAGATTACTGTTCCTTAAAGGAGAATTCCGGTTTTTAACACTTTTAGCCCATTTTCTGTAGTGTCCAGGATGAAATCGAATGATCGACACCAAAATTTTGACGATTGGTCCTGTCTCTGCTATTTGGCTCATGCAGAATCCCCCCTGGCTGCTTCAGAATGGCTTCCATAGTGCATGTCCGATAATGTCCTTAAAACAACCTTAAACGTTCTTTTTTTAAAATATGCTACTCACCGGGTCGTCAGCGCTATTCAATGACGTTCCAAAAAAAGTTTTGTGAAGAAAAACCGTTCCTGTCTTGTTTTATTTAGCATTTTGTAAATCCCAGAACTATTTTTTCCGATACATCACAACCGCTTATAAACTTCCGCTTCCGGTTCGAATCTGAAGCGTTGCACACTCCAGACCACTAGTTGGCGACGGTATCCTCTACCGTCAAACTCAAAGTCCAATATGTCCTCCTCAAGAATCCATCTTTCGTATTCCATTTTCAGAGTTTTTTAAAGTGTTTAACGGAGACGTTAGCACCTCGACGTCGGAGTACACAGAGTGAAGCAGAAACACTTGGGCCTTGCGAAAAGACTACAACTAAGCGTAAACAGGCCCCATTGCCGGTTCCGGTGGCGGAGGGATATTGACTATTCCAACAGAACTCAATGGGATTTACAAAATGCTAAATAAAACACTACAGGAACGGTTTTTCTTTACGAAACTTTTTTTGGAACGTCATTGAACAGCGCTGACGACCCGGTGAGTAGCATATTTAAAAAAAAGAACGTTTAAGGTTGTTTTAAGGACATTATCGGACATGCTCTATGGAAGCCATTCTGAAGCAGCCAGGGGGGGATTCTGCATGAGCCAAATAGCAGAGACAGGACCAATTGTCAAAATTTTGGTGTCGATCATTCGATTTCATCCTGGACACTACAGAAAATGGGCTAAAAGTGTTAAAAACCGGAATTTTCCTTTAATCTTCCTGATGTTGTTTTTTCTCTAACATTTTACAACAAACCTCTGATGACATCACAAAACATCTGGATTTACACTGAGATTAAATTAAACAAATGTTGGCTCCCTTTACTTATCATTATTTTTATTCGCTAGGTTTAAAAGGCAAATGGTTCCTCTTTATTTAAAGATACTAGGTAAAGGGGAATAAATGCAAATGCATGCCACACTTTTCAGATTTCTAATGTTTTTGTCAGGATGAAGTGTGAGATTTGATCATTGTTGGATTTGTGGTTCTCTGATCCGGCTGCTGGGGCCCAGGCTGACATCTCAGATGTCAGCAGCAGTTTGTTTACACCATGAGTTGATGAGCTGAGCTGTTTAAAGGCCGTCTGTTCTCACAGGCTTTTAAAAACACATTTAATCTTCAGGTTTCAACTCAGACAGGCCACAGGATGCAGCCTGACATACAACATGCTAATGCAGATAGATTGCTATCTGGAACACAGAGACACATCGTTTGCCAGTTTATCTCACAAATGTTTTAATTTTAATCTAAAATCACTGACTGATCACTTTCTTTCAAAAGGAGGTAATGTAGTTCAGGGTGTGATGTAATAACTTTCATAATCTGTTTAATCTAGAGGGCAACAAATACAAATTAATGCCCTTTAAAATACTAGCATCATGCTACTTTATTACCTGGTTCAATAAATAAGCAGCTTTTAAAGCATGTATTTGATATCTGATTATAATATAGTCAGAGAAAAAAAAATCATTAGTAACAGTATATTCCGTGAAAAAATAAAGTATATCTTAATCTTACAACCAAACATAAAGAAATAAACATAAAACACAAAAAATTTGTAAAAAAGTCTAAAAAGGAATCCATCTGTTATTTAGAATGATACATTAATAAACCTGTAGATATAAGTACATTTATGCAGGCTGTTATAAAGAATCCACATTACTAAACTGTTTTCAACAAAATCTAAAGTGGGGAAAGTGGTTGTTTCAGCCCATCAGAGCAGTTTTGTCAATTATATACAACATCCCAGGTCAGATTTTATTTGGTTAAGGAAGGAAAACAGAGATTTCTGCATCAACCTGTAATAAAAAAAAAAAAAAATCTGTTTTATTTTGTCTTAAATTCTGCAGGAAACCAACGACCTGTCCGCTTTTCTTCATGACAACCTTCGTGTCCACGGTCATTCTAACCTGGAGTCCAGGAACAGGGAGAGGGAGCTGGGCCAGTGTGCAGCCTGTGGTGTTAATCTGAGCCAACTCAAGCAGGAGGCCATCCTCCTTGCTCTGAGTCGTGGGCAGTCGTTAGCGAAGCCCTCTTTTGCAGTGCTGGGACAAAGTGGGGCTAAGCATGAAGAGAGGTTCTCCAGGGAGGCCGTGCATCCACCGTACAGTCAAACACACAGCCCGCGAAGCCCCAGGACGCCCCAGAGGACTCCCCAAACCCTCAGACGGAGGGGGCCCAAGCTCCCCAACCCGGATATGGGCCGCTGGGTGGAGGAGCAGCAGCAGCTGGTGGCCTCTAAATCAGCATCCAATCCAGATGGTGTCACCATGAACTCTCACCATCAGGTACCCTTAAAAGCCTTCTTCAAGCTCGACAACCTATATAACACATTTCCTAGGTTCCACCCCCACTTTAATGAGCTATATGGATAATGCATGTCTTCACGAGCGCACATGTCAGCAAGCCAAAGATACATAGCACCTAATCAGGGCCTGTTTTCGATCCCGTAGCTGAGCATGTTCTATAAAAGTCCTTTTACTAATGGAATGGAATAGGGTCATGATTTACCCGTCATAAAACAGGCCAGTCAAAAAGCTCTTGTGATCAATAGAGAGGGCAGCCATATTTAAAATAGTGGCTGGTGAAATATGCATTAATGTGATGGAAGCCGCCCCTCCTCCAAACGTCCACATTTACTGGACGTTATAGCAAATGTTTGATTTAATGTGACCAATAACGTCTTAAGCCTTTAAAGTATACCTGGTTCCTACTTTTCTCTCTTAATTATCAGTATATTTGTTTGAGTTGGTTTGCAAGGAAATGATAGAGATTCATGACTGTAACTATAGAAACTGCAGTTTATCTCAACTCTTCACACTCCTATTAACATAGCAGGGTTTTGCCATGCAAAAAAACATAACTATGATGATCTTTTTAAACATTTATCTTCCTAATTGTATAATTTGAGAGCCACTCTATGTAGCACAATATTAACTGTTTTTTTTAGCTTCTATAACAACCCAAGAAATATATTTTGCAAGCCCTTTGAAAACTGAATATGTGAATGTTCAACAAAACATTTTTTTCCCGCTTCATCTATCAGGGCTGCAGTGGGGCTGGTGCCCTTAGCAGTCTGAAAAAAAATTGTCTTCTTGTTGGAGATATGGGTAAAAAAAAAAATAGTGTGAAGATACACTCATTTCACAAGAAAAGACAATTTAAGCTGGTTTTTTTCTGAGCATTTGCTGTAAAGATTAAGACTAAAAGCTTCAAATGTTTGATTTTCAAAGAATATACCACCAGTTTACAATGACCTAGTTTGGGTTAGAGTTTTCAAAGTATTTTTGATTTTGGACTGAATTTGAGCTTAGCGTTAGCTTTAGCTTTGTTAGCAGCTAGGAGTTAGCTAATTGATGTAAGCTTCCATTATTGACATGTTGTGTCAGTTTTTACTTTCTAAGTACCTTGATTAGCTTATTAAAGCTACATAGGTGCCAATTAATGAAATTCTTGTGACATAATTTCAAAAGTAGGCAGGATTTTGTTCCTAGTATTGTTCTGTTAGCTTAAAACATTACAGAAAACAGTTGAATGTTTTTTTCTTTTTTTCCCCTAAGCTCATTTACGTTGGGCTTAGGCAAACTCCTAAACCACACCAAATTTGAGGATCTTCTTGTAAAAATAACAAAAAACTTCATCTTGCTTGTTATCAACATAATACTTAAACATTTCCAGCTACCATTTCTTTGAGGTGCAGTAAAACCAGTAAAATTGAAACAATTAATCAGACTCATTTGGATAAATTTTATATTGAAAAAATGGTGAACTGATTAACACATTTAAAAATATATATATTAAATTGCCTTAAAAGACCATCAAATGTTCTTTTGCTTAACAACTCTTTACTCAAAACTGTAAAAAAATATATTTATATCTTGCATTTAAGAGGAAATACCAGCCCGATCAGTAAATCAGGACACATCAAGTTTTGGCTTCACTTGGTTCAAATTTTGTTAATCAAATTAAGATCCAGTTTTTGATTAAAAGAATTATGGACAGATTAATGATTAGCAAAATAATCTTTATTTGTAGCCCTACACACATTAAAAAAGCAGGCAGTGTATGATTATGACATCGAACCAAAGACCTAATTGTCAGTGTTTGGACACTGAGAGTCTAAGGTGGCATCTATTAGGCTTGCATACAAAAGGTGACTTGGTGAGGAAAACAACCACACTGCTATTGCACCCCATTCTGAGGGAAGCTGGCTAAATATGTAGTAAACAACCCTGTAGTTTGAGGAATATAAGTTGATCCCATCCCTTTAAAAGGGAACTGATTAAAGAAATGGACCAGGGTAGGACTTCATGTGAGCCAATGTGAATTGTCCTGTTTAAAGACTATAACACCGTTTTGTTTAAGGAAGTAGGAATCCAGTTGTTGAGACAACATGTTCGATTATACACACACCAGACTCTTTATTAGATACACCTGTCCAGCCGCACGTTAATGCAAATTGGTAATCAGCCAATGATAAGATAGTAACTCAGTGCATTTAGGCATGTAGACATGGTAAAGATAAAGCATATAAATGGGGAAAAAAGCTGATTTAGGTGACTTTGAACGTGTCATGGTTGCTTGGACCAGACTGTATGGTCAAGGTATCTCAGAAACTACTGATCTACTGGGATTTTCACGTCCAATAATCTCTAGGGTTTACAAACAGTCTGACGAAGAGAAAATATCCAGTAAGCTGGAGTTCTGTGGGCAAAAATGCCTTGTTGATGCCATTGGTCTGAGCAGAATGGCCAGACTGGTTTGAGCTGATAGAAAGGCAACAGTAACTCAAATACCCCCTTGTTACAACCGAGGTATGCAGAAAGGCATCTCTGAACACGCAACATGTTGAACCTTGAGGCGGATGGGCTACAGCACTAGAAGACCATACCAGGTGTCCCTCCTGTCAGCTAAGACCAGGAAACTGAGCCTTGCCTGGTCTGATGAGTCGTGATTTCTGCTGCAACATTCAGAGAGTGTCAGAATTGTACATGAAAGCCTGGATCCATCCTACCTTGTATCAGGGGTTCAGGCTGTTGGTGGTGTAATGCTGTGGGGGGTATTTTCTTGGCCCTATTTGGACCATCTGAGCATCATGTCAACACCACAGCCTACCTGAGTATTGTTAGTGACCATGTCCATCCCTTTATGACCACAGTGTACCCATTATCTGATGGCTACTCCCAGCAGAATAAGGTGACATGTCATAAAGCAGAATCCACTGGTTTCTTGACATAGCAATTATTTCACTGCATTCAAATCGATTCAGATCTCAATCCAATATAGAGCACCTTTGGGATGTGGTGAAACAGGAGATTCTCTTCATGGATGTGAAGCAAACAAATCTGCAGCATCTTCATGAGGCTATAATGTCAATTTGGCCAAACTCTCAAAGGAAAGTTTCTGGTATCTTGCTGAATCTATGCCATCAAGAATTAAGGCAGTTCTGAAGGCAAAACCCGGTGCTTTCAAGGTGTACCTAATGAAATAGTTATTGACTGTGTGTTGTGTTATATGCAATTCAATTCCTGTAAATGTGTTACAGGTCATATTGTCATATTGCTTGTCATAATGCTTGTGGCTATCCCATAAATGATGATCCTTCCTTGTGTGTGGTCTGTCTTGGGCAACTGGAACCTTTCTGACGTGAGTTTGAGTCCTTATGTATATCAGACACTTGTACCATACATCCACCAGGCCTCATGAAAACCACAATCAAACTCCAGTAAGTGCTGCTAACGCTGTCTAATGTGCATAAAAGCATTCTTTGAGTCTGTTGAACTTCACTCACTGTTTTAAGTGATTGTGAGATTCTCTAGCAAGGAAACAATACTCAACTTGACATGGACCTCTGTTGCTTGTGCTTAGACGTATAAAAATTCAGTCATTAGATTATTCATTGGTCTGCATATGTAACAAAGTGGTTCCAATTTGCACTTTTCCTTCAAGGTAATTAAGTTTCTGCTTAAGGGATCTTTCTTGATGCCTATATTTATATCTTTAGGTTACTTAGAGGAAAAGTATTTTTTTCTGACAAATGAAATGTGCTGCTCATCTACGCTACGATTCCCTTTGCAAAAAGAACAGAAAAAAGAAATTTGGGCCATTTTGCATTCAGTGTAGATCTAGTAACTGAGAGTTAGATTAGGGACACGTTTTTTTTACGCAGAACACATCAGAGGTGGCATATGGACACATTTCTTTGGCAGCGTGTGCACAAATATGTCCTGGGCAACATCGAAAGACTGCCAAATGTCCCACTCTGGATAAGGACTCGCTTTCATGCACTCGAGCCTGTAAAAGCACTGGAGCCTGTCAGCAAAAATCAATGTTTTCTTGGAATTAGGGAAAGGATGTACGATTTGATCAAAGTTTATGCCTGCTAAAGGTGTGCACCGATTCGCTGAGCTGTCACCTTCTGTTTGGATCAACCAAGACGGACCTTGATGGTAAGAGTAAGAGCAAAGCATTCAGAAAACAGTTTGATTTATAAAAAAAAAACACATTAGCAGGAGCCGAGAGCAGATCAGTAGGGGGTGATTCCTCTGGGATAAAATACTGCAGGACAAGGAAATGTGGAGGTCGAAGCAGAGCGGGATAGAATTGGGTTGGAGAGAAATAAAAGGCATAAAATAGGAATAAATTAGTGCAAATAGAGAGAAGATCTCGAGGAGAGAAAAAAACAAAAATAAAAAAATCTTATGAGTCATAAGAAACAGAAGGAGATGGTCAGTGAAGTATTTATAAATCATCTGTTTTACCTTTAGTCTCCATCAGCCCTGTCTCATTCCAGACCATTACTGCACATCTCTACTGGCACTAATTGGCACATAATGGTTGGCTGTTACTCATGGAAAACTGAGCTCATGTTATCCTGCCTCTAAATGTAAGTAAGTTTTATCCAAATTAAATGGCCTTCACCAGTATCACAACATATGGGGTATTTCTAACCTTCGCTTTTGAATAAAAATCACTATGATTTAGATGCTAAAAGCTCAAAATGAATAATATGAGAGTAAAACAGTTTTCTATAAGAGCAGTCTAGAATAAATTGAAAATTACGTCAAACAAGTTATAAACCATGTTATTGTTAAAGTGAGGAGGATTTGTCCCCTTGGAAGTAAAGGCTGTAGCGCCCCGGGGCCTCCTCACACGGTTCTTTTCCTGGGAGCAAGTTAGTTACTACTCTTAACTCAAACTCGTCAAAACCATATAAAAAGGACTATAAAAACAGGAGTAAAAAGTAACAGAGTTTATTCCAGATCAGGTCGTTACAAGACAGAGAAAAATGCTTCGAGCTATGCACAGCTGTGGTCTCAAAAATCACGTCCGCAAGCGTCCGGCAAAGTTTGAGCCCCGAACAACGTCATCTCCTGCTTCTTATACCTTCTGAGTCTGTCTTGCATCATGTGGATGCTTAGCTGTCCGTATCAGAAACTGACACGCCATCCATGTCTTGAACTCCATGCAGGTTGCCTCTCTGTCTCAGGGTTACAGATACAGCAGCTCTCCTATCAGACCGGCTCCAAGATGTGCTCATATCCTGTGTACTCTTAGAGACACGAAGGCTGTCTTGATTAGATGACCTCCGTACACACCATGATATCCACAATGTGAAGGAAGGCCTTCTGCTCTGTCTAATCTGACTAACAAAATAACAGTGCACATGATGTATAAATAATAAAACCTAACATTATCAACAAGTCATATCAAAACACAAGGGGAGAAAGTTAGGGTTATCTTGAGTCTTCCTCAAACTGCTTCCAATGATTTTCAATAAAAGCAAGATTCAAATCTACTGAAGATGTTGAGGTCGACTGTATTTATTTTAAAAATGAATAATAACGCAGCCCCCTTTTTAAAACTGTCACGGTGTCCTATTTACAAAAAAATATTCTTAGATAACTTACGCGTAGATTTAGTGCAACCTTACGTAGTTATGAAATTTAGAAGTATTGTGAAATTTGGTGTATTTATTTTTGGATAATTAACGCTTGACTATCATTGATATGATAAGAAACAGATATTGTAGTACTTCGAATTAGGGCTAAACGATTTTGCCAAACATTTAAATTGCGATTATTTTTAACGAAAATTGCAAATGCGATTTAATTGCAATTTTCCTTTGCATCACGCACAAGCATGTCGATGTTTTACTGCAGGGTTTCTGTTCATTTCCATGACATTGAAAGCCTGCTTGTCCAGAATCCAGTGCTGCAGGACTTTGCTGCAACATTTACATTCTTACTTCTTACTATAAAGCATAGCTCTAGGTGCTAGTTGCACCCACTTTAATCGTATTATTGCCACCTAAAGGCTGGAGGGAGAAAGTTTGTCTTACTCTTGTTAAATTACACTTGGACAACTTTTATTCTATTTCACTCATTTTATTGACATTTCGTTTAGTACAGCTTTCCAGACAGAAAAATGTATATGTACGACACATGTATAGATGTATTGGGATTAAAAATTGAGTGCCTCTGCGATTTGAAAATTGCTAATGCAATTACTTGCTCTGCCCTACTTGGAATTGTAATAAATGTAGGCCGTAAAGGTTATTCAACCAACATGAAGAAAAGGGATTTTATTTTTTAGATAAACAATCACAGACATTTTTTTCTCCATTACTGATAATGTAAGTGTTGGTTTTGGGTGGACCAAGTCATATTAGTTTTTTTTTTATTATTTTTGATTTAAACTTTTTTTGTTTTTTTGTATTTTTCTGTTTTATATATATATGTATATATTTTTTTTTATATAAATATAAGCACCTAATCTAAAATGGAACTATGAACTATTTCCCAAAGAGCTTCACTCTATCTTATATCGGATCCCAAAGATGTCTACTTTAATGCTTACTACATTTTAAAAGCCAAACTCAATCTTCATTAAATTTACCCAATACCATCTTTTCATTCCATATAAAACAAATTATTATACATAACAGTCCAGATCATGATGACTCTTCTGTACTTGCTCTAAGTATGATGTTTCTCTGCCAGACAGACTAATCTACTACAACTGTTTTGCTGATGATGCTCAACTTTATCTACCTCTATAGTCTGTTTAATCTTCTAAATTCATTAGATGTAAAAGTCTTTTTTTTTTAAATCAATAGCAAGAGTGAAGTTGTTATGTTTTGGCCGCTCTATGTGATAAAGAAACTACTTAGCCGGTGGCATTTGCTTGGTCTCAAATAAAAAGTGAACAATCCTGATGTCATTTGTAGCCAGGGTATATGGAAATTAGGAATTATTTTAAAATATATCATTTACCTGAGCAGTCAGAGTGAGAGCTCTCCTGTCACAAAATGACAGATAAACTAGTATATACGTTAGTTACCTTAAGGTTGGATAGATTTTATTCTTTATAATATTATTGTAGTTAAACCACCTCAAAGTCCTTCATCTTATTCAAAATGCTGCAGAGAATTGGTGAAATCAATATAAAATATCTAAAAATTTTATTCCTTTTTATCCAAAATAGGATTTAAATTCTTTTTCTTACCAGAAAGCAGTGAATGATAAAGCTCCTTTTATTGAAGACCTGTTTTTTCTCCATATGGAAGAAACCTTTATTCTGGGGTTAGATATAAAATATTTCTTTTAAATCAGTCAACTACAGGTATGATTGTTGGACACCTTTACATAATGTCCTGTTTTTTCTAAAGTCATCTGAAATTACAGGCTGTATTAAAAGATGACCTCTTCAGCTCTGATGCTTCTCAGCATGTTCCTCACCGTCTGAATCCAGCTGCCTCCGTCCACGATGGAACAAATAGGCTGTTTGTTTACAGCTTGAGCTCTGAGCCTTAGATAACCTACTTACACTGGAGCTCCTAAGTGATTCCCCTGATGCCACAATTCCCCTTTGTATTAGATTTTGGAGAGTGACTAGAGGTTCGGATATTTATATAATGAGTGATGAGTTTTCTTTTGGAACAGCAGAAGGCAGATGATGCCGCGCTGACCCGTGGTGATGCTGGGACTGTTCAGACTACCTCCAAGATCCCTCACATCTCCAAAGTGGTGAGCATCGCCAACACCGCTGCAATGTCCCTTTTGGCCAGGTGAGTCTGTTCAGGATGAAATCTTAGGAAATGTTTTATATCAGATTGATAAGATGCCTCTATGTGTAAAAACAGAAATCACATCATTTTACTTTAATATTAATCTCTTTTTGATTATTTACTCTACAGTTTAGAATAAACAGATTATTAGATTTCAAATAACGGCATTTTTTTTAAATTATGAAGCATAATCATGTTTTATTAGTAAATGTGTCTTTAAAGATGAAAGATAAGATAATAAAATAGTTTTTTTAATGCAGAGTTAACTAAAATTCAACTATCCACATGTTGAAGGGTTTAGTTTTTATTGGTTTTGTTGCATTTTTTTTGCTTTAACATGGAGCTTTGAATAGATTGAGAGAAACGTTTGAAAAAAAAAAAAAAGACAACAAACATGATTGAGCATCAACTTCTGCATCCATTGTTCTGTTCCACACATGGCTTCACATTTCACGTTATGCAGTCATTGTAAAAATAATGCAGAGTTTTTTCAACTAAAGGTTATAAACAGTTGTATTTTTGCTGGACTGCAGGGCTAACGTGTATTATTAATTAATTAAAGATGAATCTGTTTTTTGACTGGATTGCAAATATATTTCCATTAATTGACATGGAAATGTCAAGGTTCAGAACAGGGGACCAAGAATTCAAGGCAGGATGACAGTCAGATATCTCAAAAGCATTTATGTAAAAACAACAGATATAAAGTAACATCAAGGACCCCTAAGGCAGGAACGTCTGATCTTATAGTTCAGTCTGTGCCAAGAGAACAAGGTTACTTCCAGCCGGTTGAATGCCAACAAGACGCGGCCCAGAGAGTCCCAGACGTTGTAGCCCCGGAGGATGGAACGCAAGCAGGAGACCAGATCCAGGCAGACGAAGGAAGGCAGGATAGGGTGGAACCAAAGCCGATGCTAAGGACGTGCTAAGGATTCAGAACCAGGGCATCAAAAGGTTCCGAAGAGAAATCCAGGACAGTTTCAGGAATTTGTTCTAAGTTTGGTTAACAGACAGGGAAGTTGTCATTCTCATGTAATCACAGGTGCTGTTAGAACAACAATGACAAAATTTTGTGTATCTAAACAACGTTTAAAAATGTGTTGTGAAAAGCAGTACTTGTGCAACTGATTAAAAGCTACTGTATGTAACAAATGGAATAACTGATAAAACCAGTCAAAGACAGAAAGTCAGCAGCCATCTTCAATGCGGAAGTTAGGTATGATCATGTTGCGCTGACCTTCCGACTCATAATCCAAAACCATTCAGGGGTGTTCAAGTTGAAATGTCCAACTCTGAGGTTGGAAGTTCCCTCTTTAGAGTATAAATGGAATCCACCAAAACACCTTAAGGCTTTGTTTCAAACCCCACATGCCTCCATTGGCAAGTTTATGAAATGACAAACATAGGGAGACAGAACAAGTAGAAGAACAGTAGAAAAAGGCCTCTTCTCTTAAGACAAACAATTTCCAGACTACTTCAGGAACAGAGAATAGTGTGTAAATGTACTAATTTAAAAGGATTTAATGACCTTTTAGGTAGATGAGACCAAAATGGAGATGTATGCCCATAAAGGACAGCACCCAGAGTGGTGATGGATGGTGGTGGAGGGGGAATCTTTGCAATCCTTTCTTTCATTGACCCTCTATTGTACAATCAATTGTGTTAGTGCACCATAATGGTTAAACCTTAGCCCAAACTGGGTGTTTCAGGAAATTAAGCGTAGCTGTATGTTTTGTATTAATTCCAGAACCTTGTAAATAGAGGGTACATGTTCTTTTTACTGATCTATCACTACTATGAGAATAATGAGACTTTTCTCTATTCGTTTCTCAGATATATTTCAGCTCCAGGACCTCTTGGTGTAGTGGGAGTGTTTTATTAGTCACTGTGAACGCCCCCCACCAACACCACTGACACCTCTCTCTCTGTCCCTGCAGGGCGGCTGAGAAGCTCAACTTGACATTGAGGAAGAAGGGCCAGGCTTCTGATCCAGCTCCCTCCAACCACTCCACCTGCTTCAGGGAGATCGTCCAGAAAAACCCGCCACCGGTCCCCCCCTGCTTGCTCCAAGCTGCCGCTCGCAGCAAAGACTCGCCCGACGTTGGCAAGGTTCACCTCAAATTCTGATACATCAAAGAGCTGATTTATGTTTTTGCTGTGACGTTTGGTTAGAAATACCAGAGGTTGTTTTTAGTTGGTGATGTAAGCACATGAATAATACACATTCCCTGGCTTTCACTTTAATAAAACAACCTTTAGGCATATTTTTTTATCTTATCCTGCTGGCAAATACAGTAATTCTGCATTGGTGTTATATATCCCCTCCTTATCCATAAGCAGCACCTTGGACGTGTCTTCCCACCACCTGTGTTACAGCTTAAAGAGATCTCAGTCAATTTGGCAGAGATCCCATATCGCTCTCCCTTCCTGATTCACTGTAATGTGGTGCTAATGTCTCCATTCTGTTCTTCCCCGCCTCCTCTGGGAGAGAAACCGAGGAGATCAATATGGCTCCCTGCCCCTCCCTTTGTCTCGGAGATGGACTCTTGGGTTTAGTGTAGAGTTACAGAAAAGGGCTGGGAAGGACCCCATCGGCAGCCCCACCTCGCCGCCGCACTCAGCTTTGTGAAGCATTGCTCTGGGATGAGAGCCGAAGAAGGCTTTCTCTGCCTGTAAAACGTCCTCCTGAATTATTCACCTCTTATGAATAGAGTTTAACACATGTTTAAAACGATTAGGGATGCTACTCTTGCTTAACGTTCAAAATGCATGAGGAGAGAAGCTAGGAAATCCCTCACAGATTTGAAGAAGTTATCATGTTGCTGAAATATGGACGTCAGGCTTCAAATTCAGCCAATAAGGGATGATCTCATCGTGGTGTGATGCAGCCCTGTGCAACATCCAGATAACTATATTTGTCAGGGTATCCTGTATTTTCGATCCTGCAGAGGTAAATTATAAAAAGAAGATGATCAGCCTTATGTTGTTTAGCATCCCTGAAAGAGGGAATAACATTAGAAGGGTAGGAAGAGGAAAGGAAAGAGAAAGCGGGGAAAGAAAGATGCTAATGGAGAAGATAACCATCAGAGTCAGAGGCTGGCCCGGGTAATTGACTCTGTCTACGTCTTGCTCGCATTCCTGCATGTTGATTTTTTCTGTCTTTTGGCTGCATGGAGCAAGAAAAGCAGACTGAAAAAGGATGTTGGCTAAAATAACTTTTAGCACCAGAGTACACCATCATCCTCCCACCCTCCAGTTCTCATGTAATAATCCTTTTTAACACCAACCCTTGGTTCCCTCAAGTTTCCTTTCTTTCTTTCCACTTTTTTATTTTTGAAGGTTTGAGCGAATGTCCAGCTGTTTGCTCCCTGTTATAACTCCTTCGGATTCCTGTAGTCATAAACCAGATTTTAAGTTAAGCAGCAATGACACCATGCTGTTTTCCAACCGACAAAGAGCTCCAGGCATTGTTGCCTGTTATCTATATTTAACATGACATCTTAAAACGCACTGCTGTAAAACCCATCCGTAGGTTTTAAAGATTCTCTTTGCTGCTTTGATATATTTTCCCAATGTGGAGATGTCCTTTTATCACCTTTACCATGAATTATTCACTAATCAGTTTCTGCTACATGGAACTGGAGCAGCTCGTGGATTAATTATAATATTTTTTTTCTTACTTTCTGTCATATAACTTTAATAACCAGCCTCTACTCTTATGTAAGTATGTAAAAGTACTGGTTATCTCCACCAGAACATAATACCACAGGATTTAGCATTAGTTACAGAAGCAACCAAGTAGTGAGCTATGCAGATTTAGCATGCAGCCGGAAGCGGCCTATTGCAGTTAAAGTCCCAGAAAAGCATGACAATATATTCATGGCATGACTGCTAAGCTGCAGTGAAGCAAATATGCAAATTATTTTACAGCTAATTTACCTTTTTTAACATAGACCACACTGTTTGTAGGTCAGTACTATTTTGTTTCTGTTGTAAGATCTGCTTCCCTCTTCTTGAACCCCCAGTCTGCTTCAGCAGAAGGGCCCTGGTTCAGCTGGAGGTTTCCTTCTCCGCCATTGCTGTATGCATGCTTGGTGGGAGGGATTGCTGCTCAACAATGCCATGCAAGCGAACCTCCACTGTCTCAACATGCTCATCCAGGAGGAGCGAACCCTGTTAAGTCAATGACTGTGTGAAAGAAGCTGGTTCTCCTTTTATGATCTGATTGAGTCGTCTCTGTAAAGTCCTTTGAGGTGACATGTTGGGAATTAGTGCTATAGAAATAAACAAAATATAATTTAAATTAGGGCTAAAAAATTGTGATTAATTGATCATTGAAATAATCTTTTTAGTATCTATTTTAGTAATCGATTAATCGTTAACTGGACTATAGAGATTATTATTAAGCATGTGTTTAGCTGACAGAGCGACTCATTTATAGCAGTATTTATATCAAAATTGTTAAAAAATATAAAAACATTTTTCATAGATAAAAAAATGTTTTCATCTGTGAATATGCTCTATCTAGAACTCCTCAGAAAAGGTTTTGTTTTACCTGGTTTGATTATGTAAAAAATCTTCTTTAAGGAATCTTTGGCTATCCAATTATTAATCAAAAAAATACTCGACAGATTGATCGATTTGCAAAATAATCGTTAGCTGCAGCCCTAATTGAAATATTGTTTCTCCATGGTGGCTGTTTAGATGTAAAACAAAAAGGTTGTTTTTTGCACATTGAAAACACTTCTTGATTTATTATTAAAAACAGAATTTGTTCAATGAAATGCATGATTTTACCTGAACATTTTCTTGTGGTACACCTTATGAATTTAACAGGACTTCTAATAACTTAGGTATTTCTAGGGAAACCACCTCTCTAGTCTTTTTGTACACTATATCCACTTGGCTGTACTGGATACTGGCACAAGGCTTTCTCCACTCAACCAATTTCCCTCTTGTAATCTGAGATTTACCAGGGTAATCAGCGATCTATAGCTCAGGGTGCACAGCAGATATCAGCATGGCTCTTGTTCTCCTGTCCCCCTGCGCTCAGGTCAAAGTGGTGCTGAGGGTGAGCCGGCTGCTGTCGGAGAGCCACGTCCAGCCACCTGTTCTTCGAGTTGACCCGTCCAGGAAGAGAGTCACCATAATGGATCCGACCGCCAGGAACCTATCCTACAGCACAATGACCCTGGGCAGGGAAAGAAAAAGTCCACTGAAGACCTTCAACTTTGATGCAGCTTATTCTCAGGATTCAGGACAGGTTTGTTTCTTTACCATTTCTGGTTTCAAATGTTTCCAACTTAAATGGCACTCTGTAGCTTTGAGTCTGGTTCAGAAAACATGCACAACACAAATCATCCATCTGTATATTCCTGTACCCTCTCTGTGGTCTCCCTCTGTCTATTTAATGGCAAGAAAACTGATACCATGCCCCTGTTGAGACCCTCCAGCTCAGCTTACATGTGCCTAAGCTCAAGGGAAAATAAAAAAAGAAGGAAAAAAAAAAAAAAAACAATCCAGCGCCTGGTTTTCAGTTGGACTGTGCAAATTTTCAGTGCTCATCAACCCCCCTGTCCTTTGTTCTGTTTGCTCAGGGTGAAGTGTGCACGGGCGTCTTGGCTGACATCATCCGCTGCGTCCTTAGCGGCAGCGATGGATGTGTTTTGGGCTTAGGATGCGCTGATGTGGGTGAGTCACCAGCTGCTCCAAGAGGCCACAGGTTCAAACCCTGAAAAGGATTTGGACGCTTTTATCAATGCTAAAGCCCCTCCACACCCCTCCTCTTGCTTTCATTCATCTTTCTCTAGTACTTAAACTACATGCCTTCATTGTTTCTTCCTGTCCTTATATCCACCTTCAGACAAATCCCATACTGCTGTTCCCTCTCAGCCATATTGTGTTGATTTCAGCTTTTTCATGCTTGAAAAATCTGAAATTCTTATTGATATGTAAAAAAAGCCCTTGCATCAACCATACATTGATCTTTTTTGAAAGCTACTCCTCCCATGCACCAAAGAACACGTTCCCGTTTTCCTACGATTGACCTAAAACAAAGTGGACTGTAATATATTTCTATTAGGAAGATGGGACCCTGCACTTAGCGCTGGTGCAGGGATTTAATAGATTTGTGCCGCACACATTAAAACACACACAGACACACATCGCGTGGTAAGGACAGGGTCTCCTTGTAGCTGCTTTTTCACATGACGCCACTCTCCGTAAATCTGATTGAATTAGTTGGCCGATACAGAGTGCATGTGGCCTGCAGCCAGAGGGATATCAATCTCCTAAACAGAATACCATTCCCCCTGAATAACGGCGGGCAGCTCAGCCTTTAATTGGAGTAAACCAATTCTCTTATCCTCATTCAATTAGAGTTTGGATAAGACAAGAGTAGCTAAAGCAGACCCATATCTCTCCATGAATGTAGGGCAACAGTGTACAAGGAGATACAACATGGCACCACTCCAGGGTTTTGGGCTAATATTGAAGGGTCTGGTCTTTGTCTGACAAATGCAATACTGTTAAAAAGTCCACATTTACTGCTTCAGTTTTATTTTTGGGGGGTGGGGGGTGGGGGTTGTTTCTTTTGTCAGACATGTTAATATGTGATAAAATGTGAGAAAACAAAATGTAAAAAGTTGCACTTTAAAAAAAGATAAAATTGTCCACAGAGCTGTTCCAAGTTAAATTTCTTTTTGTTTTACACTTGTGTAAACAAAATGACAAATAATTCTTTTTAAGTCTTAGTAAATTATATTTTCTTTATTGAAAAAACAGAAAAATATCCAAACCAGAGGTGCTGAGTAAAATAGTAATTGCACCCTAAATTTGACCACGTGGGCCGCCCTTGGAAGCCAATTTAAGTGTTGATTAAATTGGATTTAAGTCCAGACTTTAACTAGGACACCCAGAGCTTTCATTTTTACTTATTAGCAGCCTTTAAAACCAATAATCAGGAAGAAAAAGGCAGAAACAGTAGGAAGATATGCAGCAAAAGTCCCAAATCCCGAGTCAAAGGTGAGGACAAGCTGCCTTTGCTGTTCAGTTGTCTCCTTCATTAGTTTTACCACCTTCAATTTTTTTTCTTTGCCATTTGAAGATTTGCACTTGCACCTACTTCTATAGCAATGCAGCTGAGAATTAAATATTGTGTTATTAATTATGCTGCGGTAGCCAGACGTCACACTCACCTCAGGATGCTTTAAAACAGAATTATCTGGAAAGCTGCCTGTTCTCTGATTAATCCAAACAGCAGTAAGGGCACCAAAAAATCACTGAAAGTCAATACTCAGACAAGCAGTTGATCCTTCCACAAGAAAAATAAATAAATAAATAAAAAGACGATGTCCGAACAGAGCAAAACACTTAGAATTATGCACCGCTGATCTCAGTATGAAGGCACCATTTAGAATAGAAGGACATTAGCTACATGTCTACTCCATATAGAGCTACATGTGAATGTACAGATCTCTATATGGAGTTTTTTAAGACTTATCTTTTGAAACAAACATAGATACGAAAAAAACAACACTTGACGCTCACTGTTTAGTATGGTGGAAGACTTTTGATGATACGCTAAATAACATCTGCATCAGTTGTGTCCGTTATGGGGTTGAGGCTTTTGGATTAAATCCCATCAGAGCACAGGTAATTTAGTGCAATATTTACTACTTTATTTACTAAATTGTAAATGTCCTTGTTAATGGGGCTACTATGACCTATATAATGTAAACAAACAAGATTCAAAATAACATGGAAATGATTCGTACTGATATTCCTCACATCTAGGCACATTGTGAGGCTTGCCAAGATTCATCTGCCTCCTCTGCTGCTCTCCCCAGCATCCTGGTCCAGCATGGTGGGAAACAGTGACAGCCTCCAGAAGCTCGGCTTGATTCCCTGTGCCATCTCCTGGCTGTACAGCGCCATCGAACGACGCAGGGAGAAGACTTGGACTGATCTGACTGTCTCCGTGTCCGCCATCGAGCTGTGCTGCGGCGAAGAGGACACCTTAAGAGATCTGCTGGGGGAGGTGGTCCCCTCACCAGGCAGCGTACAGAACAGCCCGAAGCCCCACGTTAGAGTGACCGAGGACCCGGTCAATGGGATACAGGTATAAATCAGCTGTTTTTACTGGAAAACAAACCAAATGAGCAGCCTCATCTGTATGAAAACAGGTTCTTAACCAAATACTTTTTTACAAGCCATTTAATCTTATTAAACAAGGTTAAATCTAGCCACCAGAGAGGAGCTAACTGTTAATGAAATTACATCTTTTTAATCATCTCTGTTTGGCAATGCATCAAAGAGTCCATTAGTGCGATTTTACAGCTCCACTAACCTGTTTGAAACAAGAAACTATTTCATCCAGTAGAGTTATGATACATAAAGCACATTAATCTTGGTAAAATGTATTAACAAGCCTTTAATATAATTGCATTGCATTTATATGGGACCAGTTCCCATTAGATGAATGCTTTTATTTGCTTTCTAAATTCATTCAGCACAAAGGAATCAATTTGTGATACAGTTTGAGATCTATTTGTTGCAATAATAAAAGTCTGAATAGGATATAAAATCTATGTTGTTGCTTTATTACCGTACAAGTTAGGGTCATCTTCGTTTTTACATTTTTTTCTTCTATTCCTAGAAAACTGCAAATAATCTGCAAACCCATTAAATACATTTGCTGCAAAACGAGATTTATTCTGTAAACATATAAACTTTAAAACGTAAACAAATGAGTTTCTAGTGTAGAAAAAACGTATTTGAATCAATACATGAATCCTTTATCTGCAAGCACCCGATATCTTATGTATATATTATGTTTGAATCCTTTTTTCCAAGCATTGAATCAATAATATGATGTTTATCAAATAAGCAGACTGCTCTATTTCCCACTGATTCAAACCCATTACAGCCTCTGTTTATACACTGTCATAGTTTTTCGGGTAAACATGGTTTCTAAGCTTTCTACCATAATTAGTTTACTCAACTGCAGTTGATTGTATTTTCATTTCTAATTCACTTATTGCCATCAGACTAATTGCTGCCTCAAAAAGCTTTGGTTGGTATATAAATAAATTGATTAATAATAAATAATAGACAAACAGAACTAATACCATTTAAACACCACTTCCAATAATGTACATTTCTTTGTCTCTCTCTTCATATATATATATATATATATATATATATATATATATATATATATATATATATATATATATATATATATGGCTGGCGCATATTTAACAGATGTAGTGATTTAAGGTTTGTATTATGTTCTACTATCTCTTTAGTTGCGTAATCACAATCGTGTGAAGGCCCCCACAGCACAGCGAGCGGCTTCTCTCCTGGACGCAGCCATCGCAGCACGTCGACACACCGACTTTATCACATACCTGTGTCACAGCTCCATCATGTTCTTCACCCTTTACGTCCAGCCTCCTCGTACCGAAAGCAACACCATCGGGAAAGGTTTTTATGAGATTTTTAAAAGTATATATATGCATATATACACACACACATCATATATCTTAAATCTCATGTCAGAATAAGGCCACTGAAAGATATATCCAGCTTGTTCTGCTCGTTTGTTGCAAAAACCTGTAGAATTCTCTAATTTAAAACTCTAGTACCAAACTTACTTCTTTTAGCTTTGCTATCTGATTATGGTGTATTTATTCCATATGGAAAAGGCCTTAAATACATATGTTTGCTACCACAGCTGATACAGTACTATGCTACTGCTGTATAGACCTTTAAAATGTCATAAGTGCAGATATGCTGTCCAGTACAGTAGTTGAGACAAGGGGCAGCTGCAAAACCTTTTGCAATTGACTGTGTCACTCTGAGATGGTTTGGATAAGACAGACTAAATGTTTATGCAATAACAGTACATATATCTGATAATAGGTGATAGATAATAGGTTATGTTTCAGCTGATTAAAGAGTGCACATTTTTTACAATTTGCATATAAAAAAAGAGTTAGTTGTTTTAACTGTCAGCCTTGGTAAGTCCTCTTGAGCTACTGTAGGTAAACTGAGTGATCATGATACATACTAACCACATTAGAAATGTAAAGTATTGCATGTTTAAACCAGATAAGTTATAGCTAAAAGACATAACAAAATGACAGTATAACTGTATAAAAAAAAAAAAAAAACAAAGGCTGGGATTGTTGTTGGAATTCTTCTTGTTAATATTTCCCAAACTGGAATCCAATAATTATTTGGGTTTGGAAACGCAGCATGATTATATTTTTTTATGCCTGGATTAAAATGTATGTAATGTCATTAACATTGTCTGTGCTTGTATATAATAACAACACTCCTTTTATTTGTTTTTGTTTTTATTTCCATTCCCAGGTTCGAGGGGAACCACTAAGTTGACCATGATTGATGTATGCAGTGGGATGAGGGGTGTGAGCAAAAATAAGCTTCCTCACTCTGACTTGGGCCCCATTGTCTTGGCTCTCCTAAGTGGACATAAAACTATCCCTAGCAAGTAAGATTGGAGTTTAAAAATGTAATTTGTGTAACCTTTTCTTAAATACATATCATAAGAGTCCACTGTATTAACATTAATATAGCACTTTAATGTTAAGTGTAACTGTCTTCTTAATCATTTCAAATAATCAGAGTTTAATCCTGGAAAGTATATTCATAGTTAATTCTAAAGTCATCCACATCACATGCTGATTAAGATTAAAAGTAATATTTTAACTTGAACACTGTGAAGGATATAGATGGGTACCACAGGGTACCCATAGGGTAGGCAATGACACTGGAAAAAAAAAAAACCCATAAATATGACAATGGAAAACATCAACCACTCATTAGCGGGGCAAACTCCTGCATCCAACCCTACTGTTGCCTCATGAAATACAACGAATGGCCAAATATGAACCTGTGACATAGATATCTGCCAAGATACCACTTTAACCAATAGAATAATGCTACTGTAGAGGCACATTTCAATCCATAGGAACAGTACTAAGACAGCGTATTACCAGATTTTACAGAATTAAACTTGTTTACTATTAAAAGTCAAGATTTGAGCATTAACATAAATTTAGCACACTTAAGGCCAAATCTATAGTTTATTTGCAAAAAATATTGATTTGGGATTTTGTTACTCATTAAATGAAAACGTAATAATATTTTCACTGTGAACCTCCCTGTAAATGTTAGTTTTATTTTATAGGAAATACCTATCTGCTTTCCAATCAGAAAAACATTTTTGGTCTATTTAATAACTTTAAATCTAATCCTGCCTTTGGTATTAATAACTTTAGGGCTTAACTGTATGTTCTGTATAACAGCAGGAGTGGATATATATATAATTGTAGGTAGTTACTTGTTATGTGCACTGTTTTTACACAGGTCTAGTAAGTTGGCAATGCTCCTTCGGGAATCCATGTCTTCAAACTGCCATATTGCTGTGATCGGTCAAGTTGCTGACTCATTAGCGCATCTTCAAGAGTCCTTCTCTACCATTCAGCTGGCTTCTCGTCTACGCAGGACACAAAAGAGGACAAAGGTACAACACAACAACTAATTACTCCCAGCCAATTAATCTAATAGAATTCCCAAATGGACCATCTTCATCAATCAAGTTTTAAATGATCCCTTTTTAGAAATGAAGAACGGAAACCTGAACAAAGGTTTTGACATGGCAAAAATAAAGAAAGAAGGTGTTGCTGTCATTTATGCTATTGAACATTACCAAAACAACTGGTTGACCAAACAGTGACCTAAAAGCATATCAGAATTGTCTTATTGAGTGGCTTTCAGAGAGTTTTGATATTATCTTGTCCCAATCAGACAAAGTGTATTTAATAGCTTGGGGTGAGCCAAATACCAGCAAAGTCTGCCAGTTCTGTTGAGAAGAAAGGCTAGCAATCAATTAGGAATTAGAGTAGTGAGTATGCTGATGTGAAGCCTAAAAAAAAAGTAAGCATTTTAGTATTATTACATATAATTTTAGATATGTCAGAAAAATCCTGCTATGTTCTTGATTTCTGATCCTGGTCAAATTGCCTCTTTGACATTGTCCATTTGCTTTGACACGTTTTTCTCAACTTCGAAACCATGTTGTTCTTCTAAACTTAAGTTTCTTTTTCTTTGTAACTAAAAAGTTAGTTGACGAATTATGAAAAATTTATGGTATAAAGTGGGGTATGGCTGAAAATTACTTACAGTACTTTTAGAGGTTGCGAAAAGTCTTCAAACCTTGGAAACCAAGTCCAGTGGATTTTTTATTTTTTAATTTTTTTTACTTTTACGGAAGTACTTTTAGAATTAATAACTTCAGTGTGTGCTCTATTAAACCCATCGAATAAGCTAATAACACACCATTTTTGCATGCCTCACACACACACCACCATGCAGGTCCACATCACCCGCATGTGGGGTTAACTTTTCAGTCGCCAAGATTTGAGTTGACTTGGCTTAATTAACTCGGCTTGGCAACCAGTTGACTTTTTGTTGAGTGCCCTATTATGAACCAAATAAACTTATACATGATATTAAATATGAAGGGGCTAGAAAACAATTATAGTGTAAGTTTTTTTGATTTGATTTTAAATCAGCACCTGTTTTATTATGTTAAATTTTGAAATGATCTCCCAGTCTGTTGGAACCAAAAACATCTTTTATCTGTGTTCAACAGCAGTCTACATCATGTTCCCCTTGTGGACGGAGTTTGACCAGAGATAAAAAAGGTCCCCGCTCTTTGGGCCTCCGAGCGTTCCACTCCACAGAAGAGGTAGATGTGGACCTCTGGTCTCTTCGACTTCGTGGGGAGCTGTATCGTTCTAGCAGTGACCAGTCCTGTGACACTGTCATCCAGATCAATTCAGATGGCTCTGTCCACTCAAAAGCAGCACCACTGCTGGCACAACCTGAGTTCGTGCCAATTATACCTTCTTTGCATCCAAACAAGTCTGACCTGGAAGACCCAGAGTTTACAGCTCTACTTCAAGAACTTCTGCGAATTCCTCAGTTGCATGGAGAGAAGAAGACAGAGGAAACTCTACAGGGGGACATTGAAGGACTGAAAGCAGAAGGCAAACCACCAGAGAGAGATCATCTTAAGTGTGACACCTTTGCTGAACTTCAAGAACGTTTAGGTTGCATTGATGGAAATGAGGTGACAATGGAGATCCTCAAGTCTTCCTTGGTAGGTGCTAACCTTAAGAATATTTTAACCAAAACTCAACCCCAGAAAGAAACAACCAAAGCCCCACAGACACTGTTGAATGTGGGTAAGGGTTGCAGTCGAGCCTCTTTTGGGGAAAAGCAAACAGATGGTGCTGGCCCTGGGGAGAGGTTTCAGAGAGAGGATTCAGGTCTGTTTGACTGTGAGGAGTGTAGTGCAAACAGTTCCAGTGAAGAACTAATGAATCAAGCCCTTGGTCTCAGCATGACCTACCCTTCTGAGCTTCCCAAAAATAGAGCTGTTAAGTCAGGAAAAGGTGTCTCAGTCAAGTGCTCTGAAGCTAATTCTCACAGCAAGGCTGCCGCCAATTTATCTGAACATCAGCCACAGAAAAAACAAGAGAAACATGAAGCTGCTGACTGGTTCAAACCAGACAAAAGAGCTTCACCTATTGGTAAAAGCTCTCCAATATCTCCTTCTTTGTATTCTCCCCCTTCACACTCTATGGCTAAAAGTGTTGTAATTGGGGATCAAAATACAAAGGACAGTAAGGAAATGAAGGCCACTATCACTGTGACTGTACAACAGCCATTGGATCAAATGGGTCATGATGAACTTGTCTTTTCTATGGTAGAGGAGGTGACCATCAGTGGAGCATACAACAGTGGGACTGCAGGTGGAAACATAATTTGTATCAGAGACCTTGCACAATCACAAGAACATGGTCAAACCTCTGCTAACTCTCAACCTATCCGAATCATTGGTGATGTGAGTGATGACTGTTCAGCTGGGGCTTCTGCTCTTGCTCAAGCCACAAGCACAGATCAAAACAATGAAAGGATGAAATCTAAACGAGAAAACAGGTTTGTTCCTTCTTTCATTAATCCTATGTTGATGAACTTAGATTCGGACTGTGATTTAGAGGGTACTAAAGAGAAAAAGAGTCATGAAACCTTTAAAGACATCAACGTGGCTTCTGAGCTTAAAAGAAAAAGCACCAAAGGTCAAAATGACATTAATGTAGATAAACAGAGTCAACGTTGTGCTACTCAGGTCCATCTACTTCAGAAATCTGATAACGCATGTAGCCATGTTTCTTCTGATCAAATAGTGTCAGCAGAAAAGGATTCCTGCAAAAAAGCTTTGGAGAGCAAAATGTGCGAGAAGAGACTTGACATTACAGACAAAGCCCACCCAGGAGACTCCAAGCATGTTTATTCCACACACAATCATAAGGTCTCAGAGGGGGTTCAAATTGCTTGCAGACAAGCTGGGAGCAACCACAAGAGAGCCGTTGTTTCACCTGGTTGCTATGAAACCCTGCCTGGTTCCTCTGCAACAGGTAGCCTACCAAGAGGCTGGCAACATCCCAACCACAGACAGAGCCCCTCAAGGGGTTTGACATCATCTACTCCATGCAGCCCAGGGGAAACACTGGAGAGGAGGCACAGCAAATGGCAGTCTACTGAAAACCACAACTCCAACAACTGGTCTCCACAAACATATATCCAAGAGGTCAAAAAAGATTCAGGCTGTGCTTTTAAAAAGGGAAATGACTCTTTCTTTACCTCAAGTCCAACAAGGAAACATTACAAAACAAGCAGCAGAGTCAGGTCTCCAGCTGATAACAGCAGTAGGCTTTTTAATACCAAACTAGAGCGGTTGGCTAGAAGGTCTAATTCCCTTGGAAGAACCCCTAGACAATTCCCAACCATGGAAAGGGGTGGTAGTAACACTTCTATGAGCTCCAAGGGAAGCATTGAAGAAAGTTTTAAAGCCAATTGTAAAGAAAACTATGAGGGAGATTTTACCTTTCCAAGGGCCAATAGGAGCCCCAGGAGAAATCCCCGCTCTGACCACAGCCATCACTTCTTTCACAATGAAGACCCTCTACTTCAGTCTGTCAAGCATTCCCATTCGAAGCTTTCTGCGGTTGGAAAACTTAAGATATCAACTCCCAAGGTTCGTCGGCAGTCTGCCCCAAGCATCAAGAACATGTCTCGAAAAAGCAGTCCCAGTCTGTCACCAGATGGCAAAATGGTTAACTTTGAGCGAACGTCCTCATTTTTTTCCTCTTCCCCTCCACGATCTCATCGCTCTATCAGCCGGACTCCAAGCCAGAGCTCTACATGCTCATCTACAAAATCTGCCATTCAGGGATTGGTCAACGGCCGGATCACAGACCTCCTTAGGGAAAGGTCGTCCAGCCCCTCCTCATCTGGACAAGATCAAATGTCCCCTCTTCTCTCCCCATACAGCCAGATGACTGCTCCTCGTACGCCGGACCACCTAAGTGGGCATGCAAGTGACACCACCAGCGTGTTGAGTGGAGATTTGCCACCAGCTATGGGGAAGACAACCCTGCATTTTTCTAACCGGAGCAGTCTGGTTAGCAGTGGGTATGACAGCTTAGTAAGAGACAGCGAGGCCTCAAACAGAGATTCTATCAGCGACAGGAGTGGATCTCTACTCAGCGTGACTCGCAGCAGCCGATCATCACGGAAGAGAGGCAGCACAAGTAAGACACATTTATATATAAAAAAAAAAGCTTGGAAACGTTTATCAAATATTGGCGAATAGAAGAAATAACATTATAAAATTGTATGTGCATTCCAGAGCATGTGAGCGGAGCATAGAGCGAGCAGTGGAGCGGAGCGGAAGAAATATGATAGAGCACAGAGCGGTTTTCAATTCAAAGGCCAGAGCGAGGATATCGCTCCGCTCCACTTCACTCCGATGCGCTCACAACATCAGTTAAACATGTTAGATTATAAAGTTTGTAAAATAACATTAATTTGATTTAAGTGTGATTTTTTTCAACATGTTTTTTAATTGAATAAAAGTTGCAGGCCAACAGTTTTTAATCCTTGAAAAATATATATTGCACAAGCAGTTACGTTCAAAGCTGGAAAACGATAATTTACCAGCCAGATAAATAAGACACATGTATCGGTAACATCGTTAAATCAAACGCAGCGTGTCCCAGGGCCCTGGCATAATTACATGAAGGAAAAATGTCAGAAAATGGCTTCTCCTGAAAATTTGAGCGAGCGTAGAGCCATTTCGCTAGCCTAACGTAGTCCGACTCAATTCTAGTCAGAATATGAGTCTGATACTGCTCCATAGAGCTGGGATTATGGGGCGTGTTTCGAATGAACCAGGAAAAAAAATGCCTCTGCACTCAATTGGATAGATCTACAACCAATAAGAGCAACGGAGTGCGTGACGTATGTTAAGCGAGGCATAGTTGTTGTCCACAAAAATCAAAGCGTGCAGTTGCATGCCTAGAATAAGAAGATGAGCCTTGATCGCGTTTCTCTGTTCCTCTTTTAAAATTAATTTGCTGTCGATATCTTCTAGAACAGACCTAATAGCAGAATCTACTCTCCTCAACTCTCCAGCGGCAGCCATTGTTGTTGTCACCCAAGAGCGCTTTGGTCACGTGGTTGATTACGTTACTCTTGATCATCTGTCCATCATAGTATAAAGCCCGTCCTGACAATTTGATTGGATCGCCTGATAGTGGGCTATAATACTCGCGCTACTATGGAGCAGAGCCAGACCGAACTTCCCCGAACTCAAACCTTGTGGGCGGGACTAAGTTCGGACTGGCACCCAGGCAACCATTTCGCCAGAGCGGCAGGAAAATGAAGGGGAACGCGGAGCGGCACTCCGCTCCGTTCACATGCTCTGGTGCATTCTACCTTACCTTAACTTGAACTTTATTGATCTCACATTGGAGAAATTTACCTCTGCATTTAACCCATCCCCTTGGGGAGCAGTGTGCTGCTATTGTGTGGCGCCCTGGGATCAGCCTGGGGTTAAGGGTCTTGCTAAGGAACCCAGAGCGTCAGTCTGTGGGAGTAGGGCTTAAACTTAGAACCTCAGGATTCCAAGCTCTATGCCCTAACTACTAGGCCACCACATCCCCAAACTTTGAGATGTCCAAAGACTGCTAACAATTTATAATCCAACATAAGCTTTCTGTTTCCACAGGTAGAACCAGAAAACTCAAATGTTCTTTTTCTGCCTCGACAGACATGTCTCAACATTTTGTATACTGTAGTAGTGCTTACCTTTAGATAGCTTCTTACACCTTTGTCTTCTCTGACTTTAAATAGCTACGTGTTGACTTTGAATAGCTAAGTTTTAGTTTTGCTTTAGTCTTTAATAAGTCTTTGCTCACTAAACCTTAACAGTGAAGAGTGTGAGAAAGATAGATAGATTTTATGTTTCTAACAGACATAAATCCTAACTTAATCTTTGCTTTTCATTGACTTATTGATTCTGATTTATACAATATGGAAACCAACAAAAATATTTCTTCATGAAAAGCAGTTTCTACCAGAACAGCACTGCTTTATGTTCTAGCTTCATAACATATTTATATGACATTAATTAGACATGACACCCAGCTGTAAAGCCCATTCAGGCCTAGTTTCCTTAAAGGCCATAACGTCTAATTGTATATGACATGACATCATTAATATATGAAGCCGGTGATGGCCCTCACTAATGGCAGCGTAGATGCAGAAACTAAAGTGTGTTTGGCCGATAAAGAAATTATAAAGTTGGGTGGGTACAGTTATGATCATGCTTGCAGAGGGAAATATAACAGTGCTGATTGAGAGGGAAACAAAAGGACAAAGAGAATTCTCGGAAAAATCAATTTTTAACAAAGCTCGTTGTCCCCTTTTCCCTTCATTCATCCTCCATGAATTGGTCCTAACCTTGCCACATGGCAACCGCAAAATTCAATGTATTTTGATGAGGTTTTATCTGATAGACCAACACAAAGTTTTAAAGAATTATTGAGATGCGCCAAGATACTTATCAAGTAAAAAGCATAAAAATGTAGAGATCTTTGTAGAATCATCCTTCAAATCAGTTTTCATTTCTTGACACAGATTGTCAATCAGATTTTAGTCTGAACTTTGACTAGAACCCATGGGTTTGGTTGGATCTAAACCCTTCCCTTGCATCTCTGGCTGTATGTTCAGAGTTGTCTGATGGAAGTTATACATCTTAAAAGTTTTCTAGATTTCCACACATATAGTAGAAAGTTTTTATTTTAAGTCACATCTAAAAAGATCACCTTGTGTAACATTTTTGCTGTTTCCCATTTTGGCTTGTGGAAAAAGTTGACAGCATTTTTCTGACATCCTTTTACAAACCTATTAATAGTGGTATTCAACCAAGTGAGAAAACTCAATATATAAAAAGAGAGTGTTAGATAAAAGTCTGATTTGTTTTATCCCCCTCATTCAGCACAATATAATAAACAACTGTCCATGCTTTGGATATTCTTTTAAAACCTAATGGCTGGTTTATGCAGAAACCAGGTCATCTGCTTGTGTGTGTCGCAGTGAATGCAAATGTGCCCTCCCTTCAGCAGACACTCTGGTGCTGCTCTCCAAAATTGTAGGTGACCACTGACAGTGCTGCAGATAGGAGGCCTCTGATTGGTCAAATCTACATCCACTCTACTTTCTTGCTTGGTACCTTACCGGTTTGTTTTATTTGTATGACCGCCATTGTGGAAAACGACTCGTTTTTTCCACCTGGATCCCCTCTTTTTTTCACCCTCATATCCCTCTGTTGTCGTACAAACTTGTCCCCACTTCCTCACCACCTCGGCCGTATCTAGACCCACAGCTAGTTCATGATCGTCCCTCTTGAGTTGTGGCGTGGAATAACATAGCGCAGACCACGCTTCAAAATTAGGCATAAATCAAAAATATCTGCGATAAGCTCACTGCGACACACTTCTGCGGGGAGTATAACCAACCCTTAACTCTGCTGTAAACCTCTCATGAACTTTCTCCATGACCTGTCTTCCTTAGTCCTTGGTCTTCATGAAGATGTTCTCTGAGGCCCTCACAGAATAACTGGGATTATATAAAATTACACATAGATTTGCTCATTTTACTAATTTGGTGTTTTCAGGTTGCATTAGATTTCTTTTCTTGCAGGATTGATACAAATTCATTTTCAGGTTTCAATTTATTTAGGAAATGTTATTTTCCAGCCACTTCACAGTTATGTGCTTGTTTGTGTTGGTCTGTCATATAAAACTTTAAAATAGGGAAACCTAGCTTCTGCATTATGCAGAAGAAAAGGGGGAAAAAACATCCTGTTTTAATTCTGCAAAAAATTAAAGTTGAAAATAAGAATAGGAGGAGGAGAAAATGGTTAAAAGGCAGCACTTGACTGCGCTTTTGCTCCCTCTCAGGTACTCCCCAGCGCCGACTGTCCCATGACACCCCCCTGTCCATGAAACGATCAGCTAGCGCCAGCGGTCTGCGTTCTCGCTGGACGGAGCGGAAAATTCCGGAGGCGTATGAGATCAAGGTTTATGAGATCGACAATGCTCAAAGGATGCAGAAAAGAGCAGGTGCTGACAAACAGGTGCTGGGTTTATTTTCATTTTCAGTTTAATCTGTGGAGCTTGAGTGCAACCGGCGTGGAAGAAATCACGTTTTCTTTTTTTGTGTGTGAAAACACATTGAGGTAAAGTAGTCAATGTGATGATGGGTAATAAAGCCATGATTGTGGCTAAGGAGGGTTGAGCTAAACTGAGCTAAAATATGCCTGAAAGCAAGAGGCAGCGCATGTGTTGACGTAATGTCCCCTGAGACGAGAGGTCAGGCCTCCTGACTCTGCCCTGTCTCTTCCAGTCTCAGACAAGACCAACTTTGATACAATTTTAATGAGCATACAGGGAAAACTGGGTCAATGCCCTGCAACTGAGAACAAAGAATCACTCAGGAAGCCAACTGAGCAGACCGAAGGTAATCCTTCCTTAAGGAGACGCGCCTAAATGCTGAGTTTTACATATCAATTTATGGCAGACTACTACATTGTAATGCAAAAGTGTTCACATCTCTTAACCTTTTCACATTTTCTAATGCTACAGCCAAAAACTTCAGTAAATATTAGCTGTATGTAGGAGACCAACACAAAATAGAGCATAAATGTGAAGTGGAAGAAGAATACATGTCTTTCAACATTTTCTTGAAAAATCTGAAAAATGGGGAAAATTTTTTGACTATGCTCTTGATTCAATAGTTTTTAGAAGCAACTTTCTCTATAATTCTAATCTTAGTATGTCAGGATCTGGAGATTAAGATTTGATCTCAATTGGATTTTGGGTTGTTGTGTTATTGCTCACCATATTCTATTTTTGCCATATTAGTTCTGTTTTGTTTACTTTTTACCAGGCATTTGTCTTTACTTCCTATTATTATTTCTCTATTATTAGATAATTTATCTCAGTTTATTCCTTTGTGTTTTTTATTATTTATCTGTCATTAATAATTTTCCTCTGAACCTAAGCCTTCTGTTAATAGGTAGATTCTGTTCACCTGTATCACCTCATGTTACCTGTTGCTTTCACCTGTTTTTCCCACGATAAGCCTTCAGGTAGCTGTTAGTATTAATCGGGTCCTTAGTTTTCCACATCTGGGGAAATATAAATAAAAAACACATTCCCAAAGCATGATGTTGCCACCAATGTGGAGATTACCTGTTCTGGGTTATGTACCCTGTTGCTTCTACTCCGCAGATTATTTGATTCATGCAAGTCAAAAACTTATATTTTAATCTTATTAGAGCAGAGTACCTCTCTACACATTTGTGGTTTCCCCTGCAAGTTCTTTAAAGATCTTAAATAGCATTTCTTACGGCTTTCTTTCAACCTGGCTGTCTTTTATCCACTCTTTCAGAAAGGTTAACTTTGCGGAATAAGCAGCAAATGGTGTTTCCTGACTAACGTGGCTTTATGTCTCTGCATGTCCTTCAGAATCAGAATTACCATTAGCTTCTTCTTCTATTCACACTCTTCCTATTTGGTCAATTGCTTTAGGTCGGCCATGTTTTGGTCGCTCTGGTAATGAGCTATACACAATCCATTGTCTTGTTTTTATGCTATTTTGTGTTTGTCGATCAATTACATTCCCAATAAAAATGTAGAGATGTGTGTCTGTAATGTGACACCAAGTGAAAAAAAGCAAGGGGGATGTTATATGGTAAAGCATCAAATTAGTTCTTCTTTTATTAGAAAAATTTTATTTGTGTAATTTGACCTTTAAAACAGTTTCTTCTATGTCATGAGATTAGAAAACATTTTAGGGGCTTTCAGACCTATTTTTTCCCTCCACAAGATGCATCTTAATGGGAAGTGCAATAAAAACAAAGAGTTTTTAAGAAGAAGGAGTCATGGTGAAATGTTTCTGTATGAACCTGTGATTTCAGGGCCTTGGATGCTTCAGCGCCAAGCTGAGGTTTCTGGAGCATCGTCAGCAGAGGATCTCAGAAGTCCGAATCAAATACAACAGACTGAGGAGAGAGCTGGAGCTCGTCAAACACAACCTCATGCTGGAGCCAGCCAAGTGGAACCAAGAGTGTTAGTAAAAAAGATGATAATAACTTTAGTGTTTATCTTTACATTCCACACATTATCTAAGAAACACCAAAAAACCAAACATGGGACTCATTACAAGACCAGTGGAGAAAAGTCTTGCATATTGATGAATCAGGCTTTTAATCAGGGAGAACACAGTGCTGAATTGGGTTTAAGCACTATTCTATTTGAATAACAAATATACTAGCAGATAAAACCATCACCCACCATAAGATATGCGTCACCTGATGCCTAGAACATAACGAGTGAGCTAACGGTGGTGCCCGAACACAGCTCTGACGATAATGTCAGGCAATTTGGATCAGAGGGGCTATTGTAATAGCAGGAGAAAGGTGCTGCGTCATTGGTCTGAATCACTCTCTTGGTCTTGAAGTATTGGTCGATGAGCATTTCAGTACAATCTCAGAGGAAATAGAAAGTATAGGCTAATATTATTAGAAACACATGAACGGAAAATTGTCAGTTCCTCATAGAGATTTAGTTACAAATTGTTGAAGTGTGCTTGGAATGAGTCATTAGCAGCAGAGCATCTGGGAACAAATAAAAAAGAAACAAAAAAATATGAATAAATTCAAATCTAATTAGATTAAAAGAAAACTTCATTAAAATTGATAAAAGGAAAATGTAGTTTTGATCTTCATCAGAATACATGAATGTATGTCAGACTTTTTTGTTAAATTTTTCAGATTTCGGTTTGAGAATTACACCAAAATGATGATAGGAACCCAGATCGAGCACGGTCATGGATTTAAAATGATAAACAAGTAGAAACACAAAGCAAATAGAACAATGACAAACCCGGTACTTAAATACTGAAGAATAACAAAGGGACTAGATGGGCCTATCAGAGAAGCTTAGGGAGGGTGGTTTATTAACACAAAGGAAGCTGAATTGCAAAACAAAATAAGTAAAGAAGGGGAAAAGACTAACAGGCTAAGAGAAATACATTTAAATGCATAAAAAACAGAGAAAAAGAACAAACTAAAGATAAAAAGTACTGATATGGAAAAATCATCTTAACAAAAAACTAAACACAAAGAAATTTAACTAATACTGCACGATCTAAAAACGAATAAAACCAAATCCCGATCACCCAAATATCATGGCCACATCTGCCTTTTGGTTTTAATAACGTGAGAAGATTAAATGTTGGAAGTTAAAATTTCCAGCATAACTACACGTTTGAATTTGTGTTGTAGACAAATGGATTTCCAGAAACAAAAATTGTAATACAAATACAGTAGGCTTCACATGCAATGCTGCTGAATCCATTTAACTGTACTTCAAATATGGCAACAATCAGGGGCAGATTCACCATTAGGCAAAACTAGGCAGTTGCCGAGGGCCCCAAGTTCCTGGGGGCCCCATAAAACTCCTTTTACATGTATGGTTAATACAGCTATTTCTTATTTGTGCACATACTTTCGTTGCCATCAGAATGCTTATAATATTATGTCTAGGGGTGGCCCCCCCTTCAGTGTTCACCACAATGGATCAGTCCATTTTCTGTGCATGTTCAGAAAGGTTCAAACAGGTAGCAGCAAATCATTTGAAAACAAACAGCGGGAAGAGCAGTGTTGCCAACTTAGTGCTTTTGTTGCTACATTTAGCAACTTTTCAGACCCTTCTAGTTTTTTTTGTTGTTGTTTTTGTTTGTTTTTTTTTTTTACAAAAAAGCGCTTAGCGTCAAATCTAGCGACTTTTTTCTGCTACTGGAGACTTTGGCGACGACATATGAAAGCACCAAACTCTGCTCTCCAGAGCAAGTAGATTCGTAACCCCGCCTCCTGCTCTCCTCTGTCTTGTCTGCTGTGATGATTCATGTCATGATTCATGCAGCTATAATTTCATTTAAATGAAAAATGAAGAACCGTTACGTTTCATATTATTGTTCAGAACAGATTATTGCGAAGTGAAAATGAATGTGTTATTTTTTGGAAACACAGGAAGGAGCAATCAGCTAAGTTAGAACGGTCATAGTGATTGGAAAATCTTTGATTCCTTTGGAGACAGCATTAAAAGTCAGCTCAGCTTATTGCCAATATGAAAAGAAAAAGGGACAAAAGAAAACATAGAGAGGAAAACCACAAGAAAAAAGGATAACATAAGAGGGAATAAAGGTTGAACAAAAAAGGAATGTCTATTCTATACAAATTTCTGTATCTGTACAATGTTTCTGTATTATCTTTTGTCTTCTCAATTCAGAGAGCCCCATGCCTTTTTTTGCCTAGGGCCCCAAATTTCCTAAATCCACCCCTGGCAACAATCATACAGCAGTCTGATGATAGTTCACTCACCTCGGAATGCTGGATACTTGAAGCTTCCCCCTATTCCTTTTTATCTTGAATTATCAGAATACCCATTGTCACTCATTGATTATTGACATTTCATTATTAGAAAGTCAGTTGATCTTTTGATGTAAAAAAAAAACAAAAACAGAAAAAGAAACCAGTGTGATGTAACAGGACAAGTCATTTCTGACCAATCCCAGTATACATGGAGTATTTAGACAGGAGCATCAAAAGCAATGTACATAATTTATAAGACTGGATGCTTCTTAAAAATCCTCCTCATTTCTACACAAGGATTTATTTAAACGCACCAGCACATATGGCAAGTAAGGAAGTAGCTGAGCATCTTAACTTTTGAACTGTATGTAATGCATATACATACAGTATTGATATATGCTGTATGTGTAAAAGTTCTTACTTTGTTATCCTCTCCTAGTCGACCTGTGGCAGACTTTCGAGGTGGACTCCCTAGAGCATCTGGAGGCCCTTGAAGACGTCACATCTCGGCTGGAAAGAAGAATTAACCTCTGCAAGGCGAACATTATGATGGTCACCTGTTTCGATGCGTCCAACAGGAGGTGGCGCAAGAAGCGACGGAGCAAAATGAGAAAGCAGAAAAACTTAAAACACTTCTGAAATGAGAAGCTTGCAGTTTGGTTCTGGCCTTTTTAAATAGTATTTACCTACTATAGAGCTACTGAGATTTTTGATGTCTAATGGTTTCAGATTAATAAACTGGAACTGAGCTTGACGCAGAGGGAAATTACTTTTCACAAGTCAGGCTGCTCCTTCAGATGATTACAGTACTTATCATGTAAATTAATCTACTATTAACTTTGGTCTTTAAATTATACATTTGAACTTTTGTTTTCCTGGATTTAAATTGTTTTCCAAAACAACTTCAGTTAAAAAACAAGAATCTTGTGGACATGTTCGACTTTATTGTAATTGCCTCTGATCCACACATGTTAAAGAGGTCATAGAATGATTCTATAGGGTATTTGGTGCTGGTCCTTAAGGTCTCTGAATAGGGTGTGTAACATTGGTTGGGCTTAAAATGGCATATTTGCTCTTCTATCAGCCCTAATGCAACATGTCTTTGTTCTTGTAGTATTTTGTAGAAACAGGTGTAGATAATGGAGATTTTGCAGGGACCTTTTTTTGTGCTGATTATTAAAACCATGCTCACAGCCAGAAACCGACAGCTCCATGGTGGCTCTTAGATTCTCCACAGGTTTCCTGAAAAACAGCACAAACATTTAAAATCTGCTACACTAACTGCTGTACAGGAAATCATAACCAAGAATAAGGGCGGGTTTTGATAATCTTAACATTTTATTTTATGCATTTGGTGAAAACCTTTATTGTGCACATGTACCTTCACATTTACAAACTTACTAACAAACAAACATCATGGACATCACAACGGGTAATTTTTGATTACAAATTTTTTTGTTGTTGTTTTTTTTATGGGGAAAACTGTGCCACCCTTGGTGCCATTTTGTATATAAACCATTTTTAGGTGCTGATTGTATATAAATGTGCTTCTTCCTATTTAAAGCTCATGTAAAGGAAAAGAAATTGTTTAACTAAAAAGATCCTAGGCTGTGGAAAAGTGACAAACCGAGTTTGTTAGAGTTGCTACCTACTGAAACGTAAATGTGAATTAAATCTCTACTACCTGCATCATGGATAAATGAATGGACTTTTGAATGCATCAGTAATTTATTTTGAAAGAATGTGGATTCTACTTTTAGCCCAACAGGATGTCACTTTGTGTAAAGGCTTGTGAGCCAATCCTAGAGGAGGCGCTGATGCTCTGGAATCAGACACTGTTGACCCAGATCGGTACATTTCAAATGTACAGAGCTGCAACAATGTGAATATTGTAAATCTATATTGTTGTTATTAAGAATGCACTCACAATTACAGCAAATTCTTCAATTAGGGAAAATAATATCATGACACTGTAGTAGTTCCTGCTTCTAGCATGCTTGTTCCTGTGCTGTGATTAGAAAAAAATATTTTTGTAATGCATGGATATTTTTGTAGTTTTTGTTCTGTGCAAAAGAAAAAATAAAATCTTTCCTCCTGAAATAGTTAGATGAGGTTCTGACAGAGTTGGTTTTCCGACTGTCGAAAGCGAAGAGGTAATGAGGGCAAGCAGAGTTCAGCCCTGAAGCAGCCCAATTATAAAGGCAGCAGAGGGAGAAAATAAAGCAAGAAAGTCACAAACACAAATATGTCTCCTCATTTAACCTTTTCTTTCTTCTCTTTCTGCTCCGATTGCTTATGTTTCCCTACATCTGCAATAAAATTGTTACAAAAATAAAGTAGACCAGAGCTATCTATGCTAGGAACTGTATACAGGAGATGTAGAAGCCTCCAGTTGCCCTAACATCACAGTTCTGACTATGTCCAGAAAGTTCGGAATCTGATTCAAGTATTTTTAGGTGAAAAACTAAAATTAATTCTGGTCATTCAGAGATTTTATTTTATTTTTTTGTTTTAGCGGCTCTCACTTTTAGTTAAAGTTGTAGGGAAGTCATATTTAAATGTCAAATCATTGTGGTTTAAACGTGTATATAAATGTACTCTTTGTCAGATGATAATGTCCCAAAATTTAGAAAATTTCTATTTAAAAAAAAAAAAACCTTTCTTAAAATCTTTGTTTTTTATTTCGTCATCTTAAGCAGGCCAGTTAGTTATACGTCAGCATGAACACCTAAATTCGGCCAATCATATATCAACGTTCATCTGTCAATCAAATTTTTTCAGTCATAGCATCTTGGTTTATATGTCACAGCTAATATATGTTGAAATAATAAATAAGAATCATTTACTTTCCCATGGAGTTCCGTCCCAGTGTTCATGGAGATGGACGTCTGTGTCTTCATAACAGAACTGGCAGCGTTGTGAGGCAAGGGCTCAAACATGTACGGCTGGAAGCCTTCTACACCAAACCAAGCTTCTGCCGCCCTGGCGTCCTCTTCCACAACATCTTGGTCCCAGCTTTCCTCCTCTAAATAAAAAATGGATGACGGAGGAGACTCATCCACGACCTCCGACACTAAACTCTCCCTCTCTTGCATGTTTCCGCTGTCCATAGCGTTCCTTGAAAGAAGAAAAAAAGTAATAAAACAGGCTAATCACGTACTATGACTTTATGAAGTTCTACAGCAGTTGCTTATGATGGTAATATACAGTGACTTTCCATTAAATTATAGGCACTGTTGTTTTATTTATTTTTTGTGTACTCTGTATTTACCGTGGAAAGACCACATAGGTGGCGGTACGAAACTGCACATGCTCACTGTCATGATAGGTTCACAGGTGTGACCCAATAATGCAGAACACCACTGAAGCGGAAACTGGAGTAAAAGGTTTAACAGAGTTTATTGTCACAAGCACAATGAGAATTACTGGTTCTGGTTCAGGCCTGGGGAACTGGTTCACTGGAGTCTGCGTGAGAGACAGTTCTGTTAGCGTTTGCGCAGAGGAGTTTGATTCTTGACAGTTTCTGACTTGTACCTTGAGGGTCCTTGGTAAAAACCTTGAGAGGGAAACTGTTGGGTCCGGAGATGGTTTGTTCAGCAGAGTCCGTAAGCTGCTTCAGCATCTTACTTCTTGAGAGTGAGCAGACCTTGGCTTTGAGTTTCCAGCTCTTGGTCCAGAGCTGCATGGAAGTCCAGAGAGAGGCTTCAGGTTTGGCTCAGAGGGCAGGCTCGGCAGGTTAAGCTCTTCCTGAGCTTCACAGGAGAAAAACAGGTTTCCTGGAAGACAGAGACAAAAGTTAGAATCCAGTCTGGATTCAAAAGTCTACAAAGGTTCTCAGAGATACTAGCCTTAGGTGCTAACCAACTGGATCAACACTGCGGCGTTGAGGCAAGGTCTGAAGACAGCTTAAGTACTGTGGATCCTCTAATGATGGAATGAGCTCCAGCTGTGCAGGAGGCTCGACTCAGGAGGATCCACGGCGGACTCTGCTGGAGGAAGGTGGTACTTCTCCAGCTCCCAACACTCACATTGAGTAAACAGGAACAACGGAGAAATGGAGCCAAGCAATGAAAGATGAAAAGTCCAAGATTAAGAGTAAAAAAGTGTGAAATATTGAATGCCAAAAGCGATAAGACACGAGTATCATTTAAAAATCAACATGAACTTTTAGTGTTCTCTAAAGTAGGAGGTAGACTCAGAAGCTCACAAGTAGAAGGATGTGTGACTAAGTACTGTGAATAAATGGCAACACGGAAAAAAACATGTTTATATTTGTTGCACTTTTTGCTGCTCCTGCTGCTTGCAGTGTGAACGTAGTATTAGAGGAAAGACTGGGATGTGAAATTGATCCTGTGTTACTAATGATTTTGTGAGGGCATGTTGTAAAGGTTCACTCAACACAGCTAACACCATAATTACGCTCTCAGCATTGCAAAAAGCTTAATAAACCTTGTGAATTAAACACACAAACATGGAATCTATTCCAGCCTGACTGACATAACAGACTCAGTGATTCAATATAGGGTGGATATTAATGCCACTATTTTAACTTTGATGACAGGCTGGCCTTTTAACTCCATGAAGTTCACCAGAGGATGTATCTTTTCCTAAATGTCGAGCAATTAAATTAGATTTTATTTCCATTTGTATATTACTGAGGCGTTTCTCACTTTTAACATGGTCTGTTGGTTTGGTGTTTTTAACTGCTCATGATAGGTATAGACTTCTGGATCTTATTAATGTATTTAAAAGTGACAAGAAGGACATCACTCATCTGCATAAGCAGGGATATTCTAAAAGTAAAACAGGGCCCATGTGTTTACAGTGAATTCCAGTTGCTTCCCCCTGAACAAAGATATTTTTTCCAAGGTGTAGAAGAAATATCTATATTTAAAAAAATCCCTTAATGATCTTAAATAACTTGATATTTCTTTCTGTGTGATATGGGTCGCACTAGTCTGCTTCTTATATTGTTTTCTTATTAAGCTGCTCAGCAATTGGCCCTCAGGGATAATAAAGATCACTGAATTTAAATAAAAATTGTCTGATTAACATACATGCATTCTGGTTATGCAATGAACATTGTTGACTGCGGGTCACATGTTCCTCTGCCCTGTTTCTGCTCTTTCTGTTTTCTCTTTTTCCCCCCATCTGTTGTTACATAACTGGACTCCACCAAAAGGCAGTGCTTCAAAGCTGCCAGCAGATGGCAGCATCTGGATGAGATAAATGAAACTAACTCTTGCAGGGATACATATATTTATTTATTTATATATGTTTGCGGTGAGGAGAAGCAGAAGAATAATCCCCGGATAGAAGTGTAAACAAGCAGGCTGTAAAGGCGCGGAACACAGACGGTGGAGAGAGGGAAGAAGGTGACTGAATCTGCGGGCTGAGGAGTGGGATCAGCGCGACACTGATCCAGGGCGTTGATGATCGGACATACGGTCAGCTGTGAGCGACACCATCCAGCAGTGAGTGCAGGGCTCTGAGAGACAACATCCAGCAGTGAGTGCAGGGCTCTGAGAGACATCATCCAGCAGTGAGTGCAGGGCTCTGAGAGACATCATCCAGCAGTGAGTGCAGGGCTCTGAGAGACAACATCCAGCAGTGAGTGCAGTGCTCTGAGAGACATCATCCAGCAGTGAGTGCAGGGCTCTGAGAGACATCATCCAGCAGTGAGTGCAGGACTCTGAGAGACAACATCCAGCAGTGAGTGCAGGGCTCTGAGAGACAACATCCAGCAGTGAGTGCAGTGCTCTGAGAGACATCATCCAGCAGTGAGTGCAGGGCTCTGAGAGACATCATCCAGCAGTGAGTGCAGGGCTCTGAGAGACAACATCCAGCAGTGAGTGCAGGGCTCTGAGAGACATCATCCAGCAGTGAGTGCAGGGCTCTGAGAGACATCATCCAGCAGTGAGTGCAGGGCTCTGAGAGACAACATCCAGCAGTGAGTGCAGGGCTCTGAGAGACAACATCCAGCAGTGAGTGCAGGACTCTGAGAGACAACATCCAGCAGTGAGTGCAGGACTCTGAGAGACATCATCCAGCAGTGAGTGCAGGGCTCTGAGAGACATCATCCAGCAGTGAGTGCAGGGCTCTGAGAGACATCATCCAGCAGTGAGTGCAGGGCTCTGAGAGACAACATCCAGCAGTGAGTGCAGGGCTCTGAGAGACAACATCCAGCAGTGAGTGCAGGACTCTGAGAGACAACATCCAGCAGTGAGTGCAGGGCTCTGAGAGACATCATCCAGCAGTGAGTGCAGGGCTCTGAGAGACAACATCCAGCAGTGAGTGCAGGGCTCTGAGAGACATCATCCAGCAGTGAGTGCAGGACTCTGAGAGACATCATCCAGCAGTGAGTGCAGGACTCTGAGAGACATCATCCAGCAGTGAGTGCAGGGCTCTGAGAGACATCATCCAGCAGTGAGTGCAGGGCTCTGAGAGACATCATCCAGCAGTGAGTGCAGGGCTCTGAGAGACAACATCCAGCAGTGAGTGCAGGGCTCTGAGAGACAACATCCAGCAGTGAGTGCAGGGCTCTGAGAGACAACATCCAGCAGTGAGTGCAGGGCTCTGAGAGACAACATCCAGCAGTGTGTGCAGGACTCTGAGAGACAACATCCAGCAGTGAGTGCAGGACTCTGAGAGACATCATCCAGCAGTGAGTGCAGGACTCTGAGAGACAACATCCAGCAGTGAGTGCAGGGCTCTGAGAGACAACATCCAGCAGTGAGTGCAGGACTCTGAGAGACAACATCCAGCAGTGAGTGCAGGGCTCTGAGAGACAACATCCAGCAGTGAGTGCAGGGCTCTGAGAGACATCATCCAGCAGTGAGTGCAGGACTCTGAGAGACATCATCCAGCAGTGAGTGCAGGGCTCTGAGAGACATCATCCAGCAGTGAGTGCAGGGCTCTGAGAGACAACATCCAGCAGTGAGTGCAGGACTCTGAGAGACAACATCCAGCAGTGAGTGCAGGGCTCTGAGAGACAACATCCAGCAGTGAGTGCAGGGCTCTGAGAGACATCATCCAGCAGTGAGTGCAGGACTCTGAGAGACATCATCCAGCAGTGAGTGCAGGGCTCTGAGAGACAACATCCAGCAGTGAGTGCAGGACTCTGAGAGACAACATCCAGCAGTGAGTGCAGGACTCTGAGAGACATCATCCAGCAGTGAGTGCAGGGCTCTGAGAGACATCATCCAGCAGTGAGTGCAGGGCTCTGAGAGACATCATCCAGCAGTGAGTGCAGGGCTCTGAGAGACAACATCCAGCAGTGAGTGCAGGGCTCTGAGAGACAACATCCAGCAGTGAGTGCAGGACTCTGAGAGACAACATCCAGGAGTGAGTGCAGGGCTCTGAGAGACATCATCCAGCAGTGAGTGCAGGGCTCTGAGAGACAACATCCAGCAGTGAGTGCAGGGCTCTGAGAGACATCATCCAGCAGTGAGTGCAGGACTCTGAGAGACATCATCCAGCAGTGAGTGCAGGGCTCTGAGAGACATCATCCAGCAGTGAGTGCAGGGCTCTGAGAGACATCATCCAGCAGTGAGTGCAGGGCTCTGAGAGAAAACATCCAGCAGTGAGTGCAGGGCTCTGAGAGACAACATCCAGCAGTGAGTGCAGGGCTCTGAGAGACAACATCCAGCAGTGAGTGCAGGGCTCTGAGAGACAACATCCAGCAGTGTGTGCAGGACTCTGAGAGACAACATCCAGCAGTGAGTGCAGGACTCTGAGAGACATCATCCAGCAGTGAGTGCAGGACTCTGAGAGACAACATCCAGCAGTGAGTGCAGGGCTCTGAGAGACAACATCCAGCAGTGAGTGCAGGACTCTGAGAGACAACATCCAGCAGTGAGTGCAGGGCTCTGAGAGACAACATCCAGCAGTGAGTGCAGGGCTCTGAGAGACATCATCCAGCAGTGAGTGCAGGACTCTGAGAGACATCATCCAGCAGTGAGTGCAGGGCTCTGAGAGACAACATCCAGCAGTGAGTGCAGGGCTCTGAGAGACAACATCCAGCAGTGAGTGCAGGACTCTGAGAGACAACATCCAGCAGTGAGTGCAGGGCTCTGAGAGACAACATCCAGCAGTGAGTGCAGGGCTCTGAGAGACATCATCCAGCAGTGAGTGCAGGACTCTGAGAGACATCATCCAGCAGTGAGTGCAGGGCTCTGAGAGACAACATCCAGCAGTGTGTGCAGGACTCTGAGAGACAACATCCAGCAGTGAGTGCAGGACTCTGAGAGACATCATCCAGCAGTGAGTGCAGGACTCTGAGAGACAACATCCAGCAGTGAGTGCAGGGCTCTGAGAGACAACATCCAGCAGTGAGTGCAGGGCTCTGAGAGACATCATCCAGCAGTGAGTGCAGGGCTCTGAGAGACAACATCCAGCAGTGAGTGCAGGACTCTGAGAGACATCATCCAGCAGTGAGTGCAGGACTCTGAGAGACATCATCCAGCAGTGAGTGCAGGGCTCTGAGAGACATCATCCAGCAGTGAGTGCAGGGCTCTGAGAGACATCATCCAGCAGTGAGTGCAGGGCTCTGAGAGACATCATCCAGCAGTGAGTGCAGGACTCTGAGAGACATCATCCAGCAGTGAGTGCAGGGCTCTGAGAGACATCATCCAGCAGTGAGTGCAGGGCTCTGAGAGACATCATCCAGCAGTGAGTGCAGGGCTCTGAGAGACAACATCCAGCAGTGAGTGCAGGGCTCTGAGAGACATCATCCAGCAGTGAGTGCAGGGCTCTGAGAGACAACATCCAGCAGTGAGTGCAGGGCTCTGAGAGACAACATCCAGCAGTGAGTGCAGGGCTCTGAGAGACAACATCCAGCAGTGTGTGCAGGACTCTGAGAGACAACATCCAGCAGTGAGTGCAGGACTCTGAGAGACATCATCCAGCAGTGAGTGCAGGACTCTGAGAGACAACATCCAGCAGTGAGTGCAGGGCTCTGAGAGACAACATCCAGCAGTGAGTGCAGGACTCTGAGAGACAACATCCAGCAGTGAGTGCAGGGCTCTGAGAGACAACATCCAGCAGTGAGTGCAGGGCTCTGAGAGACATCATCCAGCAGTGAGTGCAGGACTCTGAGAGACATCATCCAGCAGTGAGTGCAGGGCTCTGAGAGACAACATCCAGCAGTGAGTGCAGGACTCTGAGAGACAACATCCAGCAGTGAGTGCAGGACTCTGAGAGACATCATCCAGCAGTGAGTGCAGGGCTCTGAGAGACATCATCCAGCAGTGAGTGCAGGGCTCTGAGAGACAACATCCAGCAGTGAGTGCAGGACTCTGAGAGACAACATCCAGCAGTGAGTGCAGGGCTCTGAGAGACAACATCCAGCAGTGAGTGCAGGGCTCTGAGAGACATCATCCAGCAGTGAGTGCAGGACTCTGAGAGACATCATCCAGCAGTGAGTGCAGGGCTCTGAGAGACAACATCCAGCAGTGAGTGCAGGACTCTGAGAGACATCATCCAGCAGTGAGTGCAGGGCTCTGAGAGACAACATCCAGCAGTGAGTGCAGGACTCTGAGAGACAACATCCAGCAGTGAGTGCAGGGCTCTGAGAGACATCATCCAGCAGTGAGTGCAGGGCTCTGAGAGACAACATCCAGCAGTGAGTGCAGGGCTCTGAGAGACATCATCCAGCAGTGAGTGCAGGGCTCTGAGAGACAACATCCAGCAGTGAGTGCAGGGCTCTGAGAGACATCATCCAGCAGTGAGTGCAGGGCTCTGAGAGACATCATCCAGCAGTGATGATGTGAGCTTGTTTAAATGTTAGTGTCTCAAATGTATTTAAGTTTAGAGATTTGAAATAGCTGAAACTTATAATCTTCATATGTTTTACCAGGATTTTATTAGTTTACAAATTCATAATAAAATTTAAAGCTGTTTCCTGGACAATGCCTGTGTTTTTATATTGAGTCACTTTGGTTGAGCCTGAGGTGAAAGGAGACTCAATGTTTAAATGATAATCTGGGTTCTTCTGTAAACCTTCACTGAAAAAAATAATATAACCACTTTTGGCGTTTACTTAATCATATTTAGTAACTTTAACACAATTGTTTCATGTTAGCAGGGAAGGACATAAAAAAGATTGTGTTAAAGTGACTAAATATTATTCCAAAAGCAGCTGCATTATTTTTTTTTTAAGGTTCGTTTATGAGTCCCAAATATGCTTTTTGAGTAATTTTGCTTGGCAGCCACTCCTGGAAGGTTCCGTTCTGTTCTATGTGATCTCCATTGGTGGTTTGCTCTCACAGTGGTTCAATAAGCCCTCGTTTCAGACAATTTTCATAACTTAATTCCACATCTTTTCGAAAACTACCTGTTTATTATGAGTTATTTGACTACTTAACCAGGGGAGCAGCTGTATTTCCTTATAGGGCCTTGTTGGTTTGGATTTTTAAAAAAATATTTTTTTTGTGCAACTGCATTTTGTATGTACTCAGGTTACTCTTTTGGATAACTGAATTAGCTTGTATAGTGTAAAACAAAAAAGAATCCTTTTTGGGCACAAATATTCTTTAAGAGATTGTATCTGAATAAAACATTCCTGTTAAAGTAAAAGCAAAAATCTAAAAAAAAAGAAATAACCAGGACACATTTGGGTTGCTAAGAAGAGTAAATCATTGGAGCTTTTCCCTTTTCACAGAAAATGTCATTACATGTAGATTAGTAAATATGTTGTACATGTATCATACTGACAGTAATAAGAATAGGAAAACCAAGACAATAAACAGACGCAAGAGTAAACAAGCTTCCAATAAGTTATAAGAAGAGGTCATGATATCACTCTGAATTTTAAACAATGTGTAAGTCAAAGCTAGAACCAGCACTGAGGATTTTTCTAACCGTTTCTAAAAGAATCTCTAAGAGCAAACCTAGAAATGTCAGGTTGTGAGTCACACAGATTTCTTTCTTTAAGCCTCCCCTGCATCATTCTCAGCTCTTAAGCTGCAAATCGTGTGAGTCAGACCCTGCTGCTGGCGTTTGTACTTTATGTCGCATTCCATGTTGCAAAATCCATAACTTTCCCAAGACAGGCTAACGGGGCTGTGTGCAGCCAGAACGTCACATAGATCTCATTCCCTCTGACCTCAGGCAGAAAACTGAAGCTACATAAAGCAGAAAATGTTCAAATGTGAGGCATCAAGGCTTTTGTCATGTAGACTAAGATAAAGGGGATCTTCTGTTTTTTGTTAGTTTACACAGGTTGTTTATTTTAACATATGGACATCTGTGTGAGTGAACAGGTGGGCAGTGCCTTGAGAAAATAGTTCCTGAACTTTTTAAAAATTTTTCATCTCAAAACCACAAACCACAGAGTGTTTTATTGGTAACACTGTAAGTCTTTGTGATACTAGTGATAGGCCAAAGAATCCAAATTTGGTCTCATCGGCTTAAAGAACATACTTCATAAAGGTTCATTGTTGTACCTTATTGTGTTAGTTTGGATTTACCAGTGGCCTTATTCACGCCACGCCTCCATCAAGGTCATTCCAAAAAAAAAGAAAAAACTTTGAAGACGTTTCACTTCCCATGTCAGAAATAGCGCTGAGTTCGAGGTTTCATACAGTAGCCCAACAAAACCTTGTTTTTGTTTTGAAAACATGCAAATTGAAACAGACGAACTGGTCCACCCCTTTGGAATGGGGGTCGTTTGACTTCTTTTGTTAGGCTGCAGTGCCCCATACCTGTCTATGTCTCTGAAAGGGGTGTTATTGAAGAGAATTTTTGGCCTGGCTGAATAGGCGAGGTCTTCTGCTTTCCTGTACAAGGGGTGGGACTGCGATGATAGCGGAAAGGGACTAACTCAATTGCTGGATTGTAGGTTTTTGAAAGCTGAAATCTGAGTCCACCCCCTCTGTTTAAGGTTGTTTTTTTCTTTCTTAACATAGATGGCTTCCTTCATGCCCCTCTTAAACAACCTATTTTCTTTGTCCAAAATGTCAGCATTCTCATCCTCAAAAGAATGCCTTTTATCCATTAGATGTAGATGTACCGCAGAGTCTTGTCCATCAAGTCCATTAAGGTCAGATTTGTATTTTGCATGACCACAACTTGTTCTGTTGTAAGTTCTTCCACCTGATCTGCTAATTTCTGCATCTCCACAAGAGCCACCACAGCCCTTTATGTTGGTCTAATACATAAAATCTCCTAATAACACTGCATTTTTCTTGTGACTAAAGGAGAATAGTTACATTTTAATTTTGTATGACAGTATATAGTTTGTCAAATCTCTTCAGGCCTTGACAATTTTGGTTGTCTTAGATGAAATAAAAGGTTTTAAATAATCAATGGGATACACAGAGCTGTCTGTGCCATAATGTTTCCATTTCTAACTGTTCTACAGTACAGTGATCCATAAAGGGTTATTCAGCATGGGGCACTCTGCTGACTGGTGCTGCAGTCGGTATCCATGGTATAAACACACAGAAAATCCATTAAGTTGATGACATAACTGCCAGTTCACAAATGATTCGGCTCCTCCTTCAGAGGGCTTTATCGATGTGCTTTATTCTGTTTTTAAAATGTGTCTTTTTGTTTTGGCAGGTCGAATTGGTGGAAGGGATTTAAAAGACTCGTTATTGACTGAAATAGCCAAGAAAAGGAGGGACATCCAGCTGCGGTTTGCGAAATCCTCGTCCACAGCCCTGTTTTTATGAACATTTCAGTTTGCTTTGTTCTCCTGGCCACCCAGGAGAGCCGGTGCAGGATTAAATATCTACACTCCATCAACGGTGAGCACTGGAGCGCCCCTTAAATCTCTTCCCAGGGCATTACAGCGGAGTAAACTTTCCCAAGTAATTTCCTTATCTGCGCACTGAGGAAGCACTCCGATAAACTCAGCACAATTCATGTTTCTCCAAGGAGTCTGAACAGAAGAGAACGTGCCTGCACCACTTCAACGGTTTTCACAGCAACATCAGGAAACTTGGGAGGTGAAACTCTGGCTTTGGACATAGGATGGGGAACAAAAACACCATTCCACCCAGGAGTCCTGAAGGTGGGATTACTCAAAAAGAAGATGCATCGCTGATCAACAGTGCTACAGGTAAAATACGGCTTTTCTTTTATAAAGAAATGTTCTATAAAACATGCTAGGGGGCACCTATGTTGAGCACTTAGAATAAATATGTCAGAAAAGCTTAAGACTGTAATTTATTTTTAGAGCCTAAAATGCCAGAGTTCATCGTGGGACAAAGAAACCACAGCTTTATATTAGCCAGCAACAAGATACAGACATGTTGACCCTCAGCATCATGCTTCCTCCACCATGTGTGGAGAATATCTGACTTCTCCAGAAATTTTATTTGACTTGACTGACCTTCAACCATTTTCCAGAAGGGATTTGTCTTATATACGTGAATTTCAATATAGATGATTTTCTTGATTTAGCACCTGTGGTTTTTGTCTTAGTCGGCACATTTCTAGTACATGTAGATGTTAAAATCGCTGTCGCTGTAAACGGTGATTGCGATGTTTCTGCTTCCTCATTTTCCTAGACTTGATCATCAGTGAGGCTCAGGCTGCCCTTTATCACCCTAATCAATTCCCTTTCATCTTTAGTTGCACAGACGATTAAACCTTAGACACAGTCTGGTGTTTCAACAGGAAGATGGTCCCTCACAACAAAACATCTAAGCTGGATTTCAAAGGGGACATGACATACAGATTAAATGCAACCGCATGCTTTTGATCCAGTTACTTTATAATCTCAGCATTTCGAATAGACCTAATTTATGGAAAATTGACTCATTATGCAGACCAATAAGCTGCAAGACGTAATTAAAAATTACAGTTTTAGAAATTGATCTACAACACGTGTTTTTAAACAATTTGTTTTCATTATTAGTGCTTAAAATTTACCAAAATACTGTAAAATCACTTTACAGTACTTTGCCTTAAGCTGCTTTACATTGTGTCAATAGAAAATCCATGTTAGAAAAGTAATTAAATAATTTTCTTTACAACAATTGCTTTTTTGACTCTCCCTGTGTTTCAATTTCTTCTAAATATAAAAAAAATCACTTACTTTTACAGTCTAATGAGCTTTTATCTAATTGATTCATAATTCAATCTTTTATTATGGTATGAAATTATATGATCCGTTATTCATTCATCATTATTATTTTTCTTGTATTTTAAATTACCATTAACTTAATTTTTGCGTAATGTAAAGAAATACATTTAGTTGAAATTTTTTTCCGCTCAAATTATACTTACCTTACTACTAATTTTACTAACATTCCTTACTTTATTGCCGAGTGAAGCTAAAAACCTTCAAATGCAAAATCCGGACTTACTCTCCGAATCTTTGTCAGATGTTATCAATTCTTTAATTTCAGTTTTAAAATACTTACTTTGTATAACTTTACTCAGATTTAGATAATTTACTGAGTTTTTGAGCAACATTCTGTAAAATCTCACACTGCTTCTTTGCTCTTATATTGATTACCAGTATATTTGTTATTTAATTCACACTAAAAAAAGTCTCTGATAACAAGTTTATCTCTTAGTTCCACTTTACAACAGAATTGGAAACCTGAAGCACACTTCTTAGAAGAAACTAACTAGCTGAACAAATGAGCAGATGTTAGAAAACAGCTTTTAACAGCTCATTACACCTGAGTTGATTCTACAGTTAAATCACAGTTTGCTTTATCTCTATTATTGCTAGAGTGTTTCACAGCGAGTCAAATGGGGGGAATTAAGGTCATCAAGATGTCTCATGGACTTATTAGGGAGCATTAGCAGCTCCCTAACAAGTGGTAAATCTAGCGCTATCCCCTTTCAGGATATACTTTTATTCTGCAACCTGGGCCTTTTTTTTTGGTAAACTGTAAACTGTGGTCTCAGGAAATAGGGGGTCAAAGTTGACCAACTCCTGTTTGGTAAAACGAGGACATTTTTGGGGCTGGTGCACAGATAATGAACTTGTTGCAGAAAACAGAAAGGGGCAGAGACTGACCATATAGAAGACCCGTACTATATTTGAAATCTTTGCACTTTGGATCACCTGATCGTGCAGTTAAATTGATTAAAAGTTTTCTATCTAAGGAAAACCAGTTGATTGCATTGACTCATTGACTCAAAGGCAATCCCTCACACTAAGCATGCTTGTAGCGACAGTTGAAAGGAAAACCTCCCTTTTAACAGTCAGAAACCTCCAATAGAACCAGGCTCAGTGTGAACGGCCATCTGCCGAGGCCGACTGAGGTTCAAGGAGACAGAAGCAGAGACACAAAAAGCAACTGTAAAAGGCGGCCCCATCCAGGAAACACACAGCCAGGCAGACGAGCTCCGAGCCAGTTCCCATGTCAGAGGATGAAGAGAGCACATCCAGCCAGTCACAGTCAGAGAAACAGGACTACACTGGAAAACAGGCCAATTTCAAACAAAGGTGTTGATGGCAGCAGCACAGCTGATATTTTTCCACAGGATGGAGTCACAGCCAAACATCTCTTATAGCATTATTAAAAATCTTATGGGTTACAGTTGTTAAAACATAATAATATTAGTAATAATAAACTTATCCCTGGTATTTCATGTTTTTAAAAGATTATGTATTTTTAAATAAAATGATATTATCACAGACACAACAGGCCTGCATATAAAAACAACTAAAAACTAACGAATAACTCAGAAAAAAGTGCAGATGAGACAAAGCTTTCTTCAGTCAAAATAGAAGACAGAATAAAATAATGTTGAGATAAAATAAATTAAGGAATGCCCTTTGGAGATATGTCATTTAGCCCTAAAAAGGGTTGCAATCCCCTGCCCCTCAAAAAAAAAAAAAACCCAACAATGTTAAAGTAGTGCTATTCTTACTTATGTCAAATTTTGGGTGACGTCTGCAAACGCCTGATGTTTAATAAAGTTCAGAAAGGATCACTTTAAGGCATACGAGCCTGCCATATAGACACAGGTGTTTTTATAACACATTGTACTGACATGATTAGCCACAGGAGATGATAGAAGGATTGTATGTCTTGGATTTGCACTGAATTGTGTGGAGTCACAGGGGAGCGCCCCACCCTGCCTACATGAACAATCAGTGTTCTTCTACTGCCAACAAAATCATCCATTTGATCCACGACTTCAATGATCGCAGCAGATGTTGAATTATTTCCCTATTGGTTGTTTTCTTTAGGTGATTGTTTTTTTACTGACACAAATATTGAAAGAACAATCAGATTTTACCAACAAAATGAAAAGCAGGCTACTGGCATTCAGATTAAAATTCCAGGTTTTTATTTTTTATTTCAATGTCTCTTCAGATGAAGCTCAGAGAACCAGTCCAGAGCTGCTGGCGGCCCTGCAGTCCCTGGGAGAAAACGAGGACTACACTCTGCTGCCTCACTCCCTGCACCAGGTGTGTGTTTGTGTGGTTGAATATACGAGAAAAACAGGGAGCAACATATTCTTCCAAATCCACGGGGAATACAATGTGTCTTTATTTAGCCTGACAGAACAGCTTTGTGTGTCTTTGTGTGTGTTAGTGTGTCCGTCAGTGGATACGCCTGTGCTCCTGTAATTGAGGGATGTTCGTCTCTGTTAGCCATGCATAGAAAATTTGTATTTTCCATGTTTATTCAACGGGTCTCAGGGTTGGTTTGCATTCAATATGCTTATTAAACATAAAAGAAACATTTATAATCTGTGTCTAAAAATATCTTTCTCCAAATGAAATTAGAAAAGAGAGAAGTAGCTTTTTGTGGTGCATTGAAGGGTATTTTTATATGTTCAGTTTGCTTTTCTTTTCTCTTTAACACTTAGATATTTAGATAATTGAACATAGTTTGAAACAAGCTATCCAAATAGGCCTGACCCAGAAAAATAAAGAACCCCTTATGTTATATGTTTTTGGAAAAATGTAAAGTATTCAGGGGTCCAGGTTTGTTTTACTTGATGTCCAAAATCATCCTAAAACTTGCCCAGCTCTACAGAAATTTAGCCCAAATCTCACCTCCTCTTGTCTCCTCCATTAAAAGCTTCAAACTCTGAAGCATTCTTTTAAAACATGAAGTTGTGCTTGTTACAATAAGCCTGGGATCATGGTTTGGGACAGTGGCAAACAAATAATTTAGCTCATGGTTGACCTCCATTCCTTTTTTATATATTTCTTATTTTTTCACTTCTTCAAAATGCTGTCGCTCAGTTTGAAGTCAAAGTCCAACAGTAAAAGTATGCTGGCTGAGGCAATGTAAACCCCATGCAAATAAATTATTCCCTAGAAAATTTAAAGTCCTGCAAACACATAAATGAGAATAGCGAACTTAAAAGTAAGACTTACGAAAGAAAAGAAACAACATGTAAAGAGAAAAATTGCTTCAAAATGCTATAATAAGCAGCAAAGTGAAAACACCCTGCAAAAGCATAAAAGATTTTAACACACAAAACATTTGCAAAAGAAGAAATGCTGCAAGCAGCATAAATAACTGCAGCTGAAGGAAAGCTGGAAACTAGCTCTTCATAATGGTTGGGGTCCAGACCACAAGGGGGAGACGATCATTTCTGAACACGCAGTGGTTTTTCTCATTTGCACCAGTTTTCTTTTGACGTGTTTCGTGTCTTAGCTTTATGTATTTGCAGTGGGTATTTGTGTTGTCCCTCCTCTTTGCAGCCCTCTATTTTTTGTGAATGTCGTTTTTCTCCTTTACATTTTTTTTGCACGTTTCTTTGTGCATTTGTTAAAGTTTTTTGATTGCAAATGTTATTTTTGTTTTTATTTGTTGATCTTCTTCAATTTGTTTTGAAATCTATACCTCTACCATTTTACTTCAGCCACCAATCTTATTGCAGCTTGGTTGAACTCATCCCCTCATTGGATTGTAGACACTTAATTAACCAAAGCACATCATGAATTGATAATATCAGCTTTGACACAATCTTCACACCACAAAAATAAATAAATAAATGATTGCATGCACATATTCACTTTTTGATTAAGTTTTCACAAAATTCTGTAAAAAGCAGCCCAAAGTTTAACAACCATCCCAAAGCTACTGTTTTAACTCTATCACAGCTTGTTCAAAAGAGGCCTGAATGGCCAGAAACCGGACCAATCTGGAAGTACTGACCACTTTCTTAAGTTCTTTGAATTTTTCTTGTCTTGGAACTTGATGCAGGCTTAACTGCCTTAAAAGCAGCACATGATGTGACTCCAGCAAACCACAGTGCATAAACATCCATAACGAGAGAAAACATAGCCAGACTAGAGTGGCGTAAAAAAAAAACTTAAAAAGGATCCATTTTAAGCAGTACAGACATCAATTGCTCCAGATAAGGTCAGAGTTCAGAATGTTAACGATAAAGAACCTGGCCATCAAATGCCATTAATCTAACACTAAACCAACTGCTGATCAAAAAGCCTGTTTAGTGAGACGTTATATATTATATATAAACCTTCTAAATAGTGCTTTGCAACATATTTCTATTAAATTTTCAATTTCTTTCCACAATTTTTGAGCAGCAACTAAAAAGCCCTGTCTCCTCTGAGCTACTGTTTGGACCTCCGTACCTCCAGGAGCAGCAGGTCAGTTCAGAGAGGTAGGCGGAGGCCTAGCCATTTAAAGCCTTAAAAACAAATAAAAGAATCTTAGAATGATCTCTTAAATGAACAGGCAACCAGGAAGTGCTCCCTTTAGATACTCCAGTCAAAAGGGATGTGGCTGCATTTTGAACCAACTGGAGATGTGTGAGGGACGACTGGCTCACTGCAAAATAAAGTGCATTAGTGAATCATGGTTAAGGACTGGTTTGCTGTTTTAGGACTCGGACAGTGTGCTGCAACTGATGGAACCATGAGTTCTACTCTCAGTTTCAGTAAAACCTAAACCAGACTTTACTTTTTGCCCTTAAACTCAGGATCACTTTGTTAAGGAAAACAGGAAAGAGTGTGGGTGGGGAGACTGTATTCGTCCGATATAAGATTACATGTTGCCTTTTGATCTGATATTTTTTGTTCGCAGTGCTTTTTGTATATCCTGCTTTTGCAGTATGTTTACACCTCTCAGCCACCATAGTTTTAGGACTTCTCTCAATTGTTTGTGCTGGAAAACCCTCCAGCATGGCTGAATAGAAACTAAGAATGTTACATTCCACAGCCATGTAAACGTATTTATTGACGGTTATTCCACCCAAGGATGACACAGGCAGCTATTAGGGTTGGAGGACAGTTAGCATTTGACAAAAAAGCAGAGTTGGATTGAAAACAATTCAGAAGTGTTTTTTGTGTATATTCAGGTTGTAGCTGATCGTAAAATTTATTTTTTGATCTGAAAAATTAAAGTGTGCATAAACAAGCAGTACATGGGTTATCTGGAAAAGACAGCAGGGATTGATGTTTAAACTAAAATTCCTCTTTTTTTTGCACCTCTTTCAGCAGCCAGCCTTCTCTCCCCAGCTAACAAATTGCAGGTTTAAACAGCCACTCCAATTAAAATAGTTTCTAAAATTAGACACAAGTCTATTTCTACTGTTTATTGAGAAGAATCACAGTGAACAAGCAGCAGTTTCATGGTACCAGTACAAAACAGTCTAGACCGCAGTTTCCTCCCCACACTCACAACATGAGTAATTTGTCACCATTGTTGACGAGTTTGCAGTTTACTTTGTGTTGCTGCCAGCTGCAGCAGTCAGAGCACAGAAAAGGAGCTGTTTTCCTGTAGTTAATGAGAAATAGTGAGTCACAGGTCACTTAACAAAAACTATACTTTGAAGCATGCAACACTGTCCCCTGTGCTTTTCCCATGTAGATTATTTCATGTTTTGACTTAATATGTTTAAAAATAGAAACCCCAAATAAGGCTTTTTGAATGAAGACTAGAGAATCTTTTATATGTCTCTATATGCTGTACATGTGGGCTGCACACCAAGAGTAAGAAGACAATGGAAATATTAAAACAGCTTAATAACGTTATTTTTTATTATTTTATAATTAGTTTTCCACATTACAACCACTATGTCACAGACCAGCACAAAATAGTCCTTCATGGTAATGTGGATGGAAAAAAAGCACATAGGAAAGTTATAGGAGGCAACTATACTGTATGATGTGCACTGTGTTAAATTCAGTTAGCAGTGTTTCAAGAAGCATGTTTCTTTTAGGCTATGTTTGTGTCTACTCTGCACTGTCCAAATAATCCATGAACCTGCCAGAACACTGAGATCCTCCTATCAGCTGCTTCTGGCCACGCCTTAAATCAGACTCGTGCCTTTTTGGCAACCGCACCAAGGCTCTGGAACAAACTGCCCTGACACATTCGATCTGCAAGAACTTTTGAGGTTTTTAAATCCTCCCTAAAAACACACTTCTTCTCCCTGGCTTTTAAGTGGATACATGGCAAAAAAATATTTATTTACATTTTTTATTTAAATTTTAACTTATTTTATTCTATTTTATTGCATTGTATTTATGTAACTTTTAATTTTTTACCTTATTTCCTGCGATTGTGATATCTGTACAGCCTGATATCACAGTTTTGGTCAACCCCAGTTTTTTTAAATGTGCTTTATAAATAAAGTTTGAGTTGAGATTCACAGAATCTGTTCAGAATTGTATCTGCAGTTTCTCAGTTAGATTTCCTCTGAACTTTGACCAGCTTTGAATGCTTTCATTGAAAATCTGGACATATTCGTACTGGCCTGATGAGAGGTGAACCTCTGTCTTTTTGCTCTCTCAGAGAAAAACTTTCCAATTGTAGTTGTAAAATGTTATTTTCCCAATTATGCTCAGTGTCACTTAAAGAAGCACATCCCCAAAGCATAATACTGTCAGCACAGTATTATGCTTATTATGTATTATGTTTCAGCGCCATGATGGAGGTTTAGGGTGGTGCACATAGTTAGTTTTCTCATATAGCCAAATCCATGAAGCAAACTGTTTCCCTTATATAGTGTGGAGCAAACTACAACCTGTTTCCCACCTGAGCGCTAGATATCTGCAGCTCCTCCAGGGATAATGAGGGTCTCTTGTTTTTTTTTTTTTTGTTTTTTTTTACCTGATTGACTCTCTCCTTGCACAGCCTGTCAGTTTAGTTAAACTGCTAGGTTTTAGTAAGTTTGCAGTTTAGCCAAACTGGCTCCAGTTGCTTTGTTGTTTTATTACAAATTGTCTAAATCTAAATTAGTTTGACTGGTTTTGATGATTACGGTATTATATAACAACATGGAAAATGTTTTAGGGATGTGAACAAAGCGTTGTGGCTAATGAAGAATGGACTTTGGGTTTGTGTGTTCGCAACTCCTCCTTGTTGGTTTCACACCACTGTCAGAGTGTTAGAATGATTTATGGGGGGGTGGGGTTTCTTTATATCTGAGAAGAAAACCTCTCACACATTCTGCCTGAAAGTCAGCCAATGACGCACCCATGAAAATTTAAAATCCTGTAAAATCTATTGTCTGTTTTTCTCCTAATATGTTTCATATGCAATCATCTGTTTAATAACATAGAACATCAGATCAGGCAGGAATAAAAGACACCTTAATTCGGACCATAAGCACATTCATGTGACTCGTGTCTCACAGGGTGTCTGCATGCTCCGCTGTGCAGCTATGTGATCTGCATCTTTGAAAGGATTAGGTCAAAAACAGTCCGAGTTTCACAGGAAAAATGGTTCCAAAGAGTGTTCAATGATTTCCACTGTAATGTTAAAGAAACATGCTCTCACCTGACATTTTTTCTATCTCCATGGAATAACTTTAGGTAATAATCTATATAACTTTAATCATGTCTTTCTCTTTTTCCCCCTTAAGATTGCAGAGACGTACTCCCTGAAGCAGGACTGTATCCTTTAAACTGCATATGTCTGCATAATGAAGTGAGACAATGCCACTCATCTCTGTCTTACTTTCAACTGAATCGTGACATCAGCCAATGAGAAAGTGTGATATGAACCCTGGAATGAAAGGTTTCAGTCTCATTAGGCAGAGCAGGGATTTACTCTGTGGAAGGGTCACTGAGTGCAGCAGCCTGGAGATTCAGATGACTTTGTTTTTTATGCTCTCAGCGTCCATCCACAGGTAAAAAAAAGAGGAAATTCATAAATAGTGGATATCAGAGACTTTATCGGCCAAAAGGCCTCTGTCATTGTTGATCTCTCTTTCAAACATATCTTTGTCCGTCCTTTTTCATCCATTCATTGGCCTTACAGATGCTGGGTGTTTCCCATACTTTGGCTCAAAGCCTCGAGGCTTGCAGTTATAGTTTTCCCTGGTGATGTTTGTGCTGTTGCCCTGGAAACAGTCTGTTTTTTCTGCAACAGGGTGTCGTGTTTATGTGTTTAAGTGATAGAAGAGTAAAAGAAGCTTAGAGAATTGGTAATGTATAGGGGAAGATGATGCATGATTCAGAGAGAAAAACATGTCAAAATGGAAGACGCAGGGAGAACTTTTAGAGAACCACAATAAGATTTACAGACTAAACGTGTTTTAGTAAAATGAAAACGGTTTACTTATATATAAAACATGACCTTTAAGCGAGCATTTGTTATTTAGTCTATGTCTCTTTTTTAATAAAATCTAAATTAAAATTGAATCTGTTTTTTGTCAGGTAGCAGGTGAAAAAATACATGTGTTTGTGCCATGTTGTTCCAACCTAGCTACAGTATGTGGCCTTTCAGTCTCAATAGATGATGACCCCTCCCTGAGTCATCTGATCTCCAATCAGAGGAGATGTGGAGCAGCTGGGGTTGAAGAAAAGGCAGGGAAACTAAAGCTGTGTCTGAATTTATTTTATTATTTGTTGCTGCTACAAAAATATCCCATGATGCTTTGCGAGGAGAGCTCTCACAATGCATTCAGGGATATATCTGCTTGTCTAGTGACCATGGATTATCACTACTTTTCAAGGTGCATTGTGGGAAACATTTAGTCCATTACTTTGTCATCCTGTAGACCAGGGGTCAGCAACTCAAACTGTTCAAAGAGCCATATTGGACAAAAAAAAAACAAATCTGTCTGGTGCCATAAAAATATAAAAGTCTTATATAAGCCTTGTATGGCAACACAAGCTCTAAGCGTATTAGCACGGTATAAAAAAGGACTACATGGGCTTAAATATATAATAAGCTTTCATAATTAAATGTTTATCCTGGAGCAAATGTCAAATGTGACTACTCTGCTGTATGAAATTTGGTGTTTTAAGGTTAAATTCCAAAGTAGCTCAAGGTAAGGGAGCAGCAGTGAACGCTCTCAACGCATGAAGTTCACAGCGTGGTGTGTATAAATTAGGTTTTGTTGCATTGATGAAATTATAGAACCATTAAAAAAATCTGTAGGGGAAAAATGAAAGAATGTTCATATACCTGCACAAAAGCGCTACCTGTTTGATCAATGAATGGTTTTCCTTGCTTGAACAAAACTATCTGCAGTAGAGGAGTTTGAAGATGCAATCCACTTCTTTAAATCTATCTCTGCACTACTGTGATTTATCCAGAAGTTTTGAAATTACATTTTCTCTCACTCCCCACTTGGTAGTCAGCTGCATATTTAGCATGCCCTCCAGGTTTTTATTTTTCATTTTATTTTTTCCAAATTACTCTTTTTATTTCTGACAACTTCCCTTTACAAAGCAAAAACGCTGGCATTCCTTCCACATTGGTAATGAAAGCAAATGATTTGCTCCATTCTCTGTTCTCATCAGCTATCTTCCTTTTTTTCCCCTTTGGGATCCATGACCGAGACACAACAATCACTCTTTTTGCCTGGTACCTCACTGAAACATGTGTTGCAGGCTATAACGCAAATCTTCGATCACAGAAATGTTTACATTTATTGTTTAATTTATTTATTATACAATTCTTTACAGCATTATAAACATAACACACCATATTATAACAAATAAACAAAAAAATACATATTTTTTCCATTTTCATGGATTTTTGAAAAAGCTCCAGGGAGCCACAAGGGGGGCATTAAAGAGCCGCAATGCGGCGGCTCTATAGCCACGGGTTGCCGACCCCTACTCTGGACGTTCAGACACTTATCTAAAATGCTGTAACCACTATATAGTGCCCTATATAGGGATTAGGGCGGACACTCAGTCACAGCCTATGGAGCACTATTGGATGGATGCTTCTTCTGCAGCTGTAAAATTCAGATGGTGCAGTGGGTTGCTGTAAAAATTCCCATAAAAGTGTAGACATATTTTCATAGGGCACTTTGGGATCCTTGTAACTCATTAATTTGCAACCACTGCCCACCTGTCTCCCCCTTTAAAGCCAACGTGAATCTCTGCTGTGATGGCTGCGTATGGCAGGATAAAACATCACTAGGCAAAGCTTAAATCACTTCAGACTAGATTTATAGACACTGATCTACAACAGCCTCCACAGTCACCAGAGATCCAGACACAGGAACACCTTCTGGATGTAGGGAATAGGATTTTCAGTATGGATGAACTGCTGACAAATCAGCAGCAGATATGTGACATTATTGCATTAAAATGGACCAAAACTCTAAGAAATATCTCTGAAAACATTGTTAAATGCATGATATAAATGATTAGAGGCGTTTTGAAGGCAGAATGATGACCAACCTATTGCTGAGGAGGTGATTGTCAAATTTATTTAACTTTACTTGAATTTGCTTTTTTTTTTATAGCCCTGGAGAAAAATTTTTACTAAAACAAAAGATGCAGTGTGGCTGACGCCATTGTCTCCTCCAAAATAATGCTTTTTCTTTAACTGGCTTTACTATCAGACCGTTGGGCAATTCAGTTTCTACAGCTGGAGAAGCTCTACCATGAGCGATTGCTCTCCAATCTCGCCGCCCTGCAGGAGAAATGGGGTACTGATTGCAAATGCTGTTTTCCAAATTGTAGTTTGTGTTTAAAAACTCTCACACTTAATACAGGAAATAGAAAAAAACAACCTAAAAATGACATAAAGGGAAGTGATGACCCGCCTTTTATTTGGATCCATGTTTTTCAGAGATCGAGTTTAATGAGAAACGGGACTCTGAGAGTTGGATCCCTCCTGATGCAGACAGTATCAGTCGGAAACAAATTGAGAAGCTGAGCCACATCTGCAGGACGCACCACAGGTAAACATGAGAAAGGAAGCCGTCTCCTCTGCTCTTGTAACTGAAAACAGAAATAGTACCTCTTAGACATTCCTCAGATACCATCAACATTCATCCCGTTATCCTAATTACTGTCAGACAGGAAACTTTTAGAATCATTACTTCTTTTATATAATCACCTGGTATCTCTCTTCCTGATGTGCCCACATCAGACATTTATAGAGCAAGACAAGTTACTTATATGGTTATGAATAGACATACCCATGGCAAGATAGCACTGAATCTGTTATGTCTGTAATATAATGAGGTCCAGGCTTCAGTCATCCTGTTCATGCCTGTATAATTCAAAGGTGGTCAGGCTGCAAAGAAACAGAAAAATGTTTCAAAGAATCAGTTTAAATGAAGCTTGTAAAAAGTTTAAGATTTTCTACTAACAAATAAAGTCAAGACTCAATAAAAATGGAAAATAGCTTTTATTTAGATGTTCGTAATAACTGAATTCTTGTATTGTACAGCAATATTTTCTTACGGTGCATTCAAACCGTATGATTTATGGGCATCAAAGCATCTGGTTTACATGCAAAGTCCATGCAGGATGGGGTCAAGCAGCGTGGAGAGGTCGTGCGGAGCGTCCTAACATCGGGAGCGACGCATCCGAGCGTTGGAGCGCCTCTGGTGTTCAACGCTCGGAGTTCAGAAATCTGAATATTTGCAGCTTGATGCTGAGCGTCACCCAATCAGAAAAGCTGATTCTGGAGTTTTTTGGGGAGACACTACATGCAAGCTGATATTGCTTCTACAGAGCTGTCTGCAGATGACAGATAAATAAGATAAAGGGATAAACATAACTAATGGATTTTTATGTACAAGGAAAAGAGAGCAAGCTCTGATAAGTCACTACTCTAAGGCAGTTTCATACAATTAACTATGGTGAAACAGTTTATAAATACCTACATTACCAAAGTAATTATAGAACCTGCAAATGAAAAATATTTAATTGTATATTCTAGTATTTGTTTTTACCACAAACCTTAAAAACTCTTTATATTCACTTCAGTAGGAAATAGCCCACAGGCTGGAGGTCTGGCACTACGAACAAAAACTGGGTATTTTATTGGGATCAAAATCCTGATGAACTGAGAGCACAGATGATGTTCTGAGGTGGACTATCTATCTTGCTTAAAAAATGTGTTAAAACTATTTTCCCAATGCATCATAGTAAATAAAGCCAAACTGCTAACTTGTTGCTACAGAACAGAACAGATAAACAACCAGAGCGTCGAGCATCCAGAGTGTTGAGGCATCAAAGCATCCTGACCAGTGTTTGACGCAGGATCCAAGTTTTGGCGTTTAAGCGTTTTTGACACCCAGATCCCGTTCGGTTTGAACGCACCTTTACAATGCCTAGACTTCGGATTATGCAGAGTAATTTAATCACATTTGCCTCCTCCAAAAATATGCCCCTCTGAGGAAAGAGCCATATCGCCTACAGCAAAGATCTGTTCTGGGAAGGGCAAATAATATATCCACAGAACATTCATTTCCTTTTTTTTTTAACAGTGTCCTGTCTGGCAATGTTGCAATAAGAATAATTGTCTTGATGCCAAAAAGAGCCCAACAGATTTTACTTTCACAAGTGGAGCAGTACGGCTATCTGCATAGTGGTCCGCTTTATTTATGCATATAAATAGCTTTATTCTAATTATGCAGGGAGTTTTACAGATTATATGGACACTGCAATGTAAGTAGAACATTAATTTCCGCTGGACTCAGACTGACACTGCAGGTCTTCATACTGAATGCGCTTCATGTTTCTCCACTGTTTCCTGTTTATAGATATTTGCTGCAGGTGGATTTGATTTAGCTCAGAAACAGATGTGGTCTTGTTTAGTTTGTCATACCTTCAATAAAATAAAAAAAAAACGGTAGAGTCTGACTGGCCACTCTAACTCTATCTTATCTCCTTGTCCTACATTCCTCGCTTTTTTCCGCTCGGTTCCTGCTCCTCTTTGGCATCGCTCAGACCGTCTCTTAGCCTGGATCAGGTCAGACATGGAAACCATTCTGCACCTTGTTGATGCAATTAGGGCCATTTTCCCATGGGATAATTTTTTCTTCTATTTTTTTCATAAACAGAGAACCCTGAATGCAGCACTTACAGACACTCAGATCAAGAGGGAGATTCTACAGCCTTGTGACGAAGGTAAGAAGATAATGACGAATGCCTCAAAAGTAACTAAAAAGCAATAGGTGAGCTGTTCTAAGATGTACGAAAGAGCAAATACAGAAGGTCTGTGCTGACTTCTGTCCATCTTAAGAGTATGTGCATGCCACTTTTCAATGATCTGATCATTTTTATGGGTCTGTTGTTGAAAGCTGGAGTGCAGCTTGGCTCAGTTTATTCTAGCATCAGCTACAATACAAAAAAATATTTCCCCTCCCTCCTGTTTCATCTGTTGTTGTTACACTAACATATTATAGGTGATCAATAGGGTTTAATGCCACACACAGGTTTTTAATGATTTTGTTTAAGAAGAAGAACTTTCCAAACAATGCTGGCTCAGTGCGAATATATAACTCTGCCTTTAAATTGTCCATTTAAACTCAATTAAAAAAAATATCTATTTCATAACCAATATGTCTCTGCTAGATCACCACAATCAATGAATCCCTGAGATTTGAACCTGTCTGACAACATGAAGAAGGCGGAAGTTCTCAAAAAGGGATCAAAGCCTGATCTATAATGCAAAAAGTTCTTTTTTCTTAAAATAAGTATTTTGTCTTGAATTGAGGAGACACTTTGGCCCAAGACAATTTCAATTTAAAATAAGAAAAAACAATGCTGATGTTTTATATCAAGTGCATTTTATCTAATTATCTTATTTTAAGAGTAAAAATACTCATTCTACTGGTAGACCATCTTACTGTATTTACCTTCTCAAATTAAGGGTAAATAAACTACATTTAAGATATTTTTACTTATTTCTAGATCGTTTCTGCAGTGTATGATGCAAGGATCTATCTTTTTTTGCTTGGATTTTTTTTAACTGTTTTTATATCTTTAACAGTGTCCTTTAAGGAATCTATTATTCATTTTCTTCTGTGTCTTTAATTGTTGTTTTCAGTTCAGTAGGTCTGATCTATAAATAATCCAAACAAGGAGCATTAAATTGATGGGACAAAAAGCATTGTGCATGTGAAACAAGTGGGCATGTTGGGGGGGGATCTATGAAGACGTTGCACACAAAAGGATAAGATGTGTAAACAGGTTTTGACTGCTATATTTTAATGAGAAACATGCCTGTGATATGTGGAATTTGAGACTAAAGAAAGATTAATTTTAAAAGTCATTTTGATGAATTGGCCTAAAGAAAGTTCCCCTGCTAACAGTGTTACAAGTCTTTAGTTATTTACTTCTTGAACAGAAACGCTCCTTCTAAAGGTGATGCTGTTTTGCTGTGTATTCATCCTGTGCATAGGAGGCGTTTGGTGAGAAGGGGGGTGTCAGGGTTGGGTCCCAGCAGGAGTAGAGGTAGACAGAGGTGTACCTTGTCACACTTCCTGCTTTTGGTCTAACAAGCATGCAGCTGTTTAAACAGATGAACACGACGCCTGATGGATGAACCTGATCTTTAAATGTTCACCGTCGTCTTTGTGTGATATTTGATCTTAAAGGTCTAGTGGAGGATGTTCTTTTTCTGGTTGCATCATCTAAATAAGTAGTCCTCCTAACTATCAATCATTCTGTTGATATGTTTACTTATTATGCTACGTGCTCTTCCCCATTTTCACTTACCAGTGATGAGTCTGACATAGTGGGAAAATTGCAAATCTTCTTTTGGAAAGTAAGCTTGTATGAGCTATGCAAACAGCAACTTTTAAACAGAGCGTGCACAAGGAGAAATGGTCTCATGCACACTGTTGCAAGTGGTTAATAGGCGTTCCCTCTGGAATGGGTACAGGGTTGTGCATTTGCATTCTTTTTTTAAAATTTTTTGAAAGTCCTCCACTATATGTTTAATCTCTAAAGCTTCTTTCCACTGAAAATACCAAGTTTACATGTAATTTACAGGAGGAATTTCATAATTTGTCTTTTAACTCTTCACTATTATGTTATTCTTATAAATTTTTCTAAAGTCCACATTTGTGTCCTTTTTTTTCTGTACTCTTCTTGCTACTGTAAACACCAGAATTTCCCCATTGTGGAACAATAAAGGGATTTTCTATTCTATTCTATTCTATTCTATTCTATTCTATTCTATTCTATTCTATTCTGCTGTATTATATCCTATTTTTCAAACATGGGTCGACCCGCTAACAATCGGCATTTGGCTTCCTTCCCACTGGCAGAAAAAGCTGAGTGTTCCCAGGTTTAAAGAGGTTTCTTAACCAGTGGGAAGTGGTTATAAAAGATTCTGGCATTTAGCAAATATGTGTAATATGTGCGTCAATACAATCAAATGGTTTTCCTTAGATTGAAAACTTTGAATTAATTTGACTATATGATCTGATGAACTGTAAAGTGCCTTGAGATGACATGTGTTGTAAATTGGTGGTATATATATAAACTGGAATTGAAAAAAAAAAATTAATTGAATTGTAATTCATTAACCAAGACTGACCTAAAATAGCAAAAATTAACTTTCATTTGATTCGAGACAGAAAAGAAAATACTCGTACTCAAATTCTAGCTATATTTGGGTCCAGATTAATGTTTTTATTTCTCCCGCTGTAGCCAAGAACTCTGAAACCACTCATGGTGCTGAAGACAAAGAAAAGAGCATGATCTCTCAGTGCAAATCGTCGTCGATACTAAGGGAGGAAGAGGAAGAGCTGCAGGATGACAGAGAAGAGGCATTGGAGGAAGGGCAGGAAGTGGAAGCAGAGGGGCAGACGGTGTGTGGCGAGGACACACCAGAGGAAGAGGAGGTGAAGGTGGAGTGGCCCTCTGGAGTAACGCAGGCCTCGGATAAAGACCTGGCTAAGCTGTCCAACACTGAAGGGGTAAGAGTTCATTGGTCAGCTGCTCCACCTGCAGCAGTCTTACAGTAGATCTGTCTTTTATTAAAGGGGAACAAAAGGACTAGATTTGGCAATAAATATTCCAAAAAAATAGCCCCATCAAGCCACCCACCTTCATTATGTTGTTCCTCCCTCCTTTCCTTCTAGTCTCAGCATAGCTGTTTTAAATCTGTCTCTCTCTCCCTTTTCCTGTTCACTGGTCAACAGCTTTTTTTCCTTTCTGGCGGAAAACCCCACACTCCCCCATCCTATCCAGACCTGCCCTTGTTGTTTCCAAACACTCCCTTGAATGATTTTCCTGGTTCCTCTGTGAGCTCAGCCTCAGCCCATGTTGGCCAAATGTGTTCGATTACAGAGCTGGAGACTGAGCCAAGACACCATGTCCTGGCTCAGATGCTGAGCTGAGGAGGGGTGGTTCTGCACCGAGGTGAAAGCAGAGCTATTCCAAAGCTGGGTAGAGTAGATTAGCATTGCTTCAATTTATTTTAGAAGTTAAAATTATTTGGCAATAGAAGTACAATTTTGTGACATTCCAGTGTTGCAAACTGCTAGAGCAACACGTAAAATTTAACCCAAGGAAGAGCAGCATTGCTTCAACATAACATTACAAATAGGTAGAAGTGTGGAAGAGTAAAATACTCAGGAAGTATTTCAGTTTTTGCTAGGGTACTCTAGTAAATATAACTAGTGACTAACCAGATGTGTCTGTCACTAACCCTGAGAGCCTGACATTGATTCATTTAACTTCATGGCTGGTGAGTTATACAGAGCAGGTTGGAGCTGATGGTTCTCATTTGTTGAAAAACTAAATAGAGATAGGAAGCGGATAAATTGCAGCATCAGTTTAGACATCTCGCCCAGTAAGAAACTGTTGTTGTGCACAAATCAGAAGATTTCTGGATATTTCTAACCCAGTGTCGGCTGGTGCTCTCTGACCCATGGGAGGCTCAATGCTGTTAATTAAAACCAAACATCCTGTATTGCATTAATAAATGATTAAACACATTAAATACATCACTACAACGGGTGGTGAGAATAGCTTTTGTGAAGCTCTTTGAAGTAATAAAACTCCAGAAACGGCAACAGTTCAGCATAACATGACTGTTCTGACTGAATGATAACTTTTCCTCTGGACTCATGAGGAAAACCTCCTCACTTCCTGGCCACTGCTAGTCAAAAAACCTTCAGAATGTTGGCCAATCAGCATCAAGCAGCGAACTTCACGGCCCGCCCCCTGCTCCATAGACCCCATAAGAGGCTGAGCCTCACTGGAAGTGACATATTTTGGCGGTTATCCAATCTGTGATACAACAGGGATTTCTGACAGGCGGTGTCCTGCTGCTCCAGAGCGAAGGGGAGATTGCGTCCAAGAGAGGAATAAATAGCTGATGAAATCACAACATACTCATGAAATCATATGAAAGACGGTTTAATGACAACTTTATGAAGTTAGACAACACATATTTAACCATTTAAAGAATTAAGAGGAGAGGTGATGTATTTTGGCTCATTTTCCAATCAGTGCTCTACTTTTTTGCTGCTTAATTCAATAGACCGAAGCTCAAACCTTAACAGGTAATCCTCATAGAGAAGGTGTTTCAGGTAGCAGGGAGATCGGGAGCATACTCATGAAATCAGGTGCATTTTAGTGCATATTTAATGCATCTTAATCAATACTTTTATGATGTTAGACTATGCATATTTGAACAATAATTTACTAATTTAGTATACACGGGATGTTTAGCCTCCCTAGTTTTCAATGGAAAATCACCACTTTTCTGACCTAATAGAATAATTTAACCCTCTAATAAGAGATTAATTAGAGTAACTAAGTAAACTTTATTAAAATAGCCTCTTTCACAGATAAAAATTACAAATCTAATGCCATATGGATTAATGGTGTAACATACTGCTGTGCTTGAAAGTTTACATACCTTCCCATTAAAAAAAAATAAATTCCAACTAGAAATTCAAATAACACAGAACTTAAAAAGTCATATTTAATGTAATTAATGATAATTTAGTAAAATAAATATTTTATTTAGAATTACTGTTAAAAAATGAGTCTTAAAAAAACAAACAGTCCCAGGCAAATTAAAGTCCCTTGGTCATGAACGTCAAACCCTCATACCTGTTAACAGGTGTAGAAGTCTGACTTATTTCCTGAACTTTAAAGAACTATAGATTAATATTGAGGAAGCACGGCACAACCTTCTGGATACACTACATTTTGCCATATTTATATATCATTAAAATACTTAAAGGATGGTTGTGTTAGTGCAAATATACTCTTTTTGTTCACCAGTAGCAGACTACTCAGGCTGTGAAGTGCTCATTGTGTTTATCTGAGAAATAGTCTTGAAGGAGAAGCTGTCCTCTCTGCACTGCTTTTGGAGTAATTATCTCAGACTTCTGTAATTAAGGCACTTCGTAGAAATTATAACCAAAAATGTAGAGGAACTGAAGCCCCCCCAAGAGCAAGGCAGCTTAAACATGTCAGAAGCTTAAGTTTAAAAAAAGGGTAAATCAACAGTAGAACCTAGTTTATGTAAACATTTCAATAAGGCTCATCAGGTTCGTTTCTGGGATTTTAAATACACATAATTGCTTGTTTGAAACTAGTTTTAACCAAGCTTTTAATGTCGGTGAATGTGCAATATTTGGATCATTATATTCTATTTGTCATGATGGATCAAAGGAGCAAGCCCTTATGCAGAACACACACGGAGGAGGCAGGGAAAAAGTTCAAGTGTTTATTAAAAGTTCCGAACACGAGAGAATAAACAAGTTCTGAGAATGTTTCACTGAAGTCTTGACTGGGACCGGAGACTGTTGGTTAGCAGAGTTCATGAGAAGCTAAGCGTCTAGCTTCAGGCTTAGCATGGCAGACCAAGATCTGAGCTTCCAGCTCATTGCAGAGAACAACAGGGAATATCCACATAGGATTCTTCTGGCTGAGCTTCCAGCTCATTGCAGAGAACAACAGGGAATATCCACATAGGATTCTTCAGGCTGATTCCACATAGGAACCTTCAGGTAAACTCCACACAGAAGTCTTCAGGTCAAATCCACATAGGAATCCCCAGGTTGGCTCACCAGGGCAGACTAGCAGGTTAAGCTCACCTAGAGCTTCAGGCTAGAGACAGGTTTCCTGTGATGCAGCTCTCCCAGAGCTTCAGGCCAGAGACAGGGTTCCAGTGAGGCACAGACAAAGGAGAGATTAGAATCTGATCTCACACTAGAGACAACTAAGATTCTATCAGTAACAGAGGTTCAGGTAGCTAACCAAACTAAGATCAACACTGCGGCGTGGAAGCAAGGTCTGGCAGGAGCTTATAAAGGGAAGGTCTCCTAATGAGTAGATGGAAATCAGGTGTGCTGGAAGACTCCAGCCCTAGGAGACCCACGGCGCACTCTGCTGGAGACAGAGGGCAATCTCCAGATCCCAACAGTAACTCCAGTCCTAAAAGACAGTAACAAGAGACAGAAGAGGATCCTCGGTGCCCTCTGGTGGGCAAGCCTGAGGATCCCAACAGTGCCCCCCCCTCAAGGGCGGATACCATACGCCCTCTGAACAAGTCCAAAAAATAAACAAAAAACAACCCACCCAGGGTGGGCGGAGGGGGCACTAGGGCGAGGAGGGCCAGGAACAACAAAAAACAGAGTCCAGAAAACAAAAAACAACCCACCCAGAGTGGGCGAAGGGGAAAACAGGCCAGATGGGCAAAAACAAAAACAGGGTCCAGAACAAAAAACGATCCACTTATGGTGGACGAAAACAAAAGAAAGCCCAGACGATTTCTTGGGAGACGTCTCAGGTGGCCGGTTGTGGGAGCGACAGCGGGACTAAGTCTCAGGTGGCCGGCCGAGGGACCGGCGGCGGGACAGAGTCTCAAGTGGCCGGCCGAGGGACGGAGGAGAGGCCGATTCTCAGGGGGCCTACCGCTGGGCCGGAGGCGAGACAGATGCTCAGGAGGCCGACCACGGGGCAGAAGGCGAGGCTGACGATCCGGAGGCCTACCACGGGGCTGGAGGCGAAGCCGACGCTCCGGGGTTCTGCTGCGGGGCCGGAGGCGAAGCTGACGCTCCGGGGGTCTGCCACGGGGCCGGAGGCGAAGCAGCTTCTCAGGAGGATGACGCCCAAACTTCAGTAGGTACCCCCACGGGGTACCCCGTCCCCTCTTCGGCAGCTCAGGAACAGGCTCAGTAGCGACCGCTGACTGTGGCTCTGGAGGAGGCTCTGAGGAGACCGCCAACTGCGGCTCTGGAACAGGGTCTGAGGAGCCCACCGACTGCAGCTCCTAAACTGGAACAGGGGAGCCCGCCGATTGCGGCTCCTGGACTGGAACAGGGGAGCCCGCCGATTGCGGCTCCCGGTCAGGAACAGGGGAGCCCGCCGATTGCGGCTCCCGGTCAGGAACAGGGGAGCCCGCAGATTGCGGCTCCCGGTCAGGAACAGGGGAGCCCGCCGATTGCGGCTCCGGGTCAGGAACAGGGGAGCCCGCCGATTGCGGCTCCTGGACAGGAACTGAGGAGCCCGCCGATTGCGGCTCCACATCTGGAACAGGAGAGACCACCGACAGTGGCTCCACATCTGGAACAGGGAAGACCACTGACTCTGGCTCTTCATAAGGGACAGGGGAGACCACCGACTGTGGCTCCAACTCAGGAACATGAGAAACCTGCGACTGTGGTTCCACCTCAGGAACTGGGGAGGCCACCGACTGTGGCTCCACCTCAGGAACAGGAGACACCACCGACTGTGGTTCCACCTCAGGAACTGGAGAGACCACCGACTGTGGTTCCACCTCAGGAACTGGAGAGGCCACAGACTGTGGCTACACCTCAGGAACTGGAGAAACCACCGACTGTGGTTCCACCTCAGGAACTGGAGAGACCACCGATTGTGGTTCCACCTCAGGAACTGGAGAGACCACCGACTGTGGCTCCACCTCAGGAACAGGGGAAACCACCGACTGTGG